TTATATCAACACAAGTTGATAATGTTACGAATATCAGAGGCTTGCAGAGGATATTTTTACTTTATCAATGAGTGTTATATTTGATGTCAGAATACACAAGGGTGAGTATATATTTATCATAAAAAAATCACTCTTCATTACTTCATCAACGAAAAATGGACATTTCTGAACACGGTACTGCCATTAGACTTGCCGTGCAGCGATGTCATAGCATTGTGACATCATCAAGTTTATGACGTCATCAGGTTTTCGATTTTCTAGCATTGTGAGTCATGTAATTGATGACATCAGGGCATTGTACAAACTCTACTGTCAAAACGATATATCCTAAGAGATATCTCCAGTGGAACAATGTTCTGGATGATAAATTCTGTACAGTACACCATGCCACAGGTGGTATTTCTTGTAACGAACCCAGGAACTATACACACTCATTCAGAAATGTCTAAGTCTGTAATCACACTGCTTTCCTTTATCACTGAAGTTCTGACTAGCAGTTACCTGATGATCTTAGTAAGGCAAAACCTGACAAGGGGCAGTGGGGTAGCCTAGTGGTAAAAGTGTTCACTCGTTCAATTGCCCACATGCGTACAATGTGTGAAGCCCATTTCTGGTGTTCCCCACTGTGATGTATTGGCTAAAAGCGGCGTAAAACTAAACTCACTCACACTCACTCACCTGATGAAAAAGTAGTAATTACCAGGGCTGTTACAACTCAATCCCTGATTCGGAAGATCTAACCATATCCCTTCATAAATTCAGGTACTTATTCTCAATAACTAGAATGTTGTATTATTCACGGATCATTTTAAAAAGGAGTGTTCTACTTGAATTCATTATTAAAATGTAATATGCAAAATGGAATATATCCAAGCCAGGCAGGATAATAGCCAGCACTCTAATACATTTGATCATCCCAGGTTGTTGACCCACATTAGCCGCTGCCCACGATGACAATGATGGAATATTTGACGACCAATATTCAACATGCTCCAGGGCAAATAAGGTTCACTATTAAGCAACACATGAAACAAAGACAGTAATTAAAATGTCTTCACCACATATGAAAATCTGAAGAAGGTAGAAACTGGAACTGGCTGAACTACATTCTTGGATGTTCTATCAGTGCCTGATGTCTGATGAGATCCGACTACACCACCTCTCTACACAAGTCGGTTTTAGCATCACTCCCTGAAGCACATATTGCAATACTATGGCCTGGTTGAAAGGCATACATTGCATATCTGGCCACACTGATATGGATATCCTTCAGGTTAAATGGTTATTTCTGGCACAGGTGATCAAACCAACTGTAAGAGAACGAAGGGTAGCGAACCCACTGACATTCACTGCACTTCCACTGTCATGTTCAACATATTCACCCTGGAACTTGATTTAAAACAAAGATCCAAGATCAGACTTCAAATATTTTCTATTATTTCTTTTTTTCATTTCAGCTCTTGACAACAGTACTTAATGGAATTTGCAAATACACAGGGCATTCCCTACATGTTTGGCAGCTAAAAATAGCATCTACACTTAATTTGGTAAACATAACACATTACAATTATTCGACAAACAAGTTCATATCAGCATTGCAGCATATAACAACATTTTTAAACCAAAAGTTAGATGACAATACATAGACCATAAAAAGATAATTGTGAGACTTGTTCCTGCCCCTTTAAATGTGTAAATAATGTTGTTTTTCTGATCACTCTTAATACAGTTACTGCTGACTGCAACAATGCCTGCCAGCACTGCTACCCTATACTCAGAGAGAGTGGTGGGGGCCCAAGGGCTGACGGGGGTAGACATGGAACCAAGGAGACCCTAGGGGTCTACACAACTAGTGTTACATGTTATCAGTGAATCCCAACTCCCGTGCCAGGAATTCAGTACTTCGACACTCTGAGGTTTACATTGTCTAATCACATTTGTCTGCTAATGTTTCAGGATGGTTTGGGCAGCAGTTTGTACTAGACAGTTTCAGGGAAGAACCGTGTACATTAGTCCATCAATATAGATGTAGTAGTGTAAACAGTGTATATCACATATACCAACACACAATAGTAACCACAATATTTGTATTTTTATCACGTTGATAAATGAAAAATATTAATAATGATAAGAATGGTATTGTATAAGAAATATATCTAGCGTCTTCATGTGTAAACGCATCAAACTACTTGTTAAAAAGGACATGCTAGTTTGATGCCATTAAGTACCCAATTTAGAAAATAATCGTCGTTCCTTTCACACTACTGAAAATGAATTAAGAGAATGAAAACAGCCATTTCACTTTAACTTCCATAACTGTAGTATAAATAAGCAAACCAAAACTGAATATAAACTTAACCTAACACCACCCCATCCCCCCAACATGTCTGGAAAACTTAACATTAAAACTTCAGAGAAGAAGTTGGATCACAAAATGATCAATATGAACATGATCACACCAACATTTACAGTCTAATGTGATATATAAAGCACTAAATAGTTCATGGACAAGAAACTACTTTTTTCATTCTTAAGTTAAGTATTGCTGAGTCAAGTCAACATCTTGGAGTGTTTGTCCACACCCAAATGCTCAGTATGATTCAAAATAACTATATAAAAATATCATGATATATGTGTTGACACATGTAAGGGCAATTGTTAATGATATCAAGATTGAAATGCAAACTCTTACTTAAATATCTAGAGAAAAAACATTACAGGTTTAACGAATGTGGAGGTTTGGGAAGGGAGATACATGTATTACCGTTTTTTATAAATCTTTAAGAAACCTAATAGAAGTAATAAATATTGCCCTAAAGACCACCTGTTGGCAGAGTTCGACAAATATCAAAGCTTTATGATAAGGAGCAGTCATATTATTCATCCTGCTAAGACTGCAGTTTACCGGGCAAAGTTCTAAGCACTGACACAGGCAGCAGCCTACATCCCTGGCTTAACAAATCCCACTGCATCTTTGATTGTTAGGGTCAGTTGTGCTAGAGTAAGTTACCGATAACTCCATCCTTAGCCCTTGGATCCCCTTCCAATCAAATATCCGATTTCAATTTACTAGGCTAGTTGTGAGTTAATCTTAGGATTAGGGTTAGCAAATGAATTATGAACATTAAGACATGGAAATAAAGGTGAATATGGGTACAACAAACTGTGTTGGTCTTACTTCTTTTCAACAATGACATTCTATAACTTTACACATTTCTAGGGTAAGAGCTGCCGTCTGTGATCAAGCATATCACTAGAAGAGTGAGTGAGTTTGGTTTAACACTGCCTTTAGCAATATTCCAGCAATATCACTGCTAGGGACACCAGAAATGAGCTTCACATACTGTACCCATGTGAGGAATTGAACCTGGGTCTTCGGTGTGTAGAGCGAACCACTTTAACCACTTGGCTACCCCACCGCCCCTATATCACTAGAAGAAATGACAGCACTTACGTTTCATTTCATAATACAACCATGTCTATTTCCTCCCTGCTTACTCCCGACCTCCATCTACTCCCAAGATTATCTTCTTTGTGATTTGCAATGGTTGGGTTCAACACCGCTTTCAAGAGTAATTCTAGTTATATCACGGCATGTCGGCTTCATTTGGGAGGAAAGCTCTGGTGAGGCACATCTCAGACATTTACAATTTTGGCAAAACCCATGAGCTGGGGTATGGTGCGACAGGTAAACAAGGATTTTTTGGCATGATCATAGGTTTCAGGTGTGATCAGGGGACGCAACTCTGTAAATTGCAATGCCTTAGATGACTTGATCAGCTATGATCCCGCATACTGAATGAGCAAAGTAGTCATGCTAATAGATAACAGGCATTGTATTCAGTATACTGAATGAGGTAATGCATATGAGTGTGTGTGAGTGAGTGATTGAGTTTATTTTTAATACTACACTCAATAAAATTCTACCTGTTCGTAACTGTGTCTGAGCCAGAGAATCCACAGTCTAAGTAAACTGAGGCTCAGTATTATTCGTTACTCTGCTACACTGAGTATAACAAAACCTAGTAGAACTAGAAGGTTGTATCAGCTAACCTTTGAGCGACCTATGACCATCCAATCAAAGAGGCAAAACGGATTTAGCCAATGAGTCAACGGCTACTATTTATGGTTGGGGGGACTTACAAAATGGATTCTCTTTCCTGGTTGCTAACACTGATCTCTCAACAATTGAAAATCTCATAAAACACAGATATTTGACCTGCAGTATATACACTTAGGGGTTTCTGATGACATGGCTACTATTAGCATATATTTTTGCTCAAGATGACATCCTGGAATATTGACAAAACGTTATTTTCAGCGACTTACTGTTGTGAATAATGGCATCCTCCATATGCATCACTCGGAAGTGATTGTGCGGAAAATAACATTCAGAATTGTTTGAGTACAAACGTTTTTGAGGCAAAAGTTGAAACGATATGTGCGAATGTTAACTTTTGCGATTCGGTAAGCTGTGTTCTCATTGGTCAATTCAAATGGTTAGTTGACGCGACCTTCTACTGGGGTTTGTTGGACTCAGTAACTATAGCAGTGTTACGAATAATATCGAGCTGGATAATATAGACTGGAGAATCAAGTGACTGATATCATGAGCATACACGTAAACTAAGTCACTCATCCTGATGAATGAATCCATTATGCTGCTTCTTATCACCAGCATAGGTTGTGGGGACCAATTGTGGTGCCACATGACGGTCTACTAAGTTCAAAGTATGATCATCCAAGATCTAATCAGTCTTACCCAGGAACCACTACAAGAGGCATGTCTCCAAGATTCAACTCAAACAAGGTAGAATTAGGTACATTACGAGTAGCCCAGACTAAGCTGGTTTACCTGATGACAGGTTAAAGGTTCTTCCTTTACTGACTCCGAGCCTACCAGTCCTTTTAGGAGGAGCCAGGCAACCAACCAGTTGATGACGTAGGTGGGGGAACTAACCAGCGACCTGAGACACCAGTGGTTAGACTTGTCTCCTTACCTGATGACAGGTTAAAGGTTCTTCCTTTTGTTGTTTCTTTAGGAGGAGAGAACCCTAATGAATGGCAACACAAATGACAGAAATGACAGTCAGCACTATTACCCCCTCAGCAGAATGAAATATCATCATGTATAATTACAATGCTAATCATCTCACACTGAAATCTAGATTTTGTTCCTAACTGTTTCCTTGGTTTACATAGTCAGTAACGTTTTGTCTTCTGTATGAAAATATAAGGAATACCCACCAGGGTACATAAACATTTAAAATGAAACACAATAAAGTTTTCAAATTTGTATATCACAGTGTAACACTTACTTTTCTAATTCTACAAGAAATACATATCCTCCAAGTTTTTAAAATACAAAATATTGTAAACCAATAACAATTTAAAATTTTTGTAACAACTTTGATTTGAAAACACTGATAATACTATATGAAATATAGTTTAACCATGTAATGAATTTATCTACTCCAGATGAGAAAGGGTCCGTTATATAATAGAGTCTGCTCCACACAATCCAGTGATATTGACATGGTAAGAACCCATCCATGCCATCAGTTTGACCCAATCTATTATGTTGCCTCATACAACCAGCATACATTGCTGGGGATCAATTCTAACCCAATATTGCTAAACCTACATCTCATAAGATCACAAATTTCAGATCTTTTCCAAGAAAAATAATACTTTATCCATTTGAGTAGTACTGTGTTAACTTCTGCTACAGGAGTCCCCATGTTTGTGCTGTACTTACCTCTTGTACAAGTTTCTCCTCTGTCTCCTTCTGCAGTTCCTTGCTAGCCTCCTCAATGCCCTTCATGATCATCTCCGACATGGACTCCAGGAACTGGGGACAGAGAGCCAGGTGGAGAACATGGGCAGAGAACATACATCAGACACATGGATTAAAGAATGGATGGACTCCAGGAACTGGGGACAGAGAGCCAGGTGGAGAACATGGGCACAGAACATACATCAGACACATGGATTAAAGAATGGATGGACTCCAGGAACTGGGGACAGAGAGCCAGGGGGAGAACATGGGCAGAGAACATACATCAGACACATGGATTAAAGAATGGATGGACTCCAGGAACTGGAGCCAGGTGGAGAACATGGGCACAGAACATACATCAGACACATGGATTAGGGAATGGATGGACTCCAGGAACTGGGGACAGAGAGCCAGGTGGAGAACATGGGCACAGAACATACATCAGACACATGGATTAAAGAATGGATGGACTCCAGGAACTGGGGACAGAGAGCCAGGTGGAGAACATGGGCACAGAACATACATCAGACACATGGATTAAAGAATGGATGGACTCCAGGAACTGGGGACAGAGAAGCCAGGTGGAGAACATGGGCACAGAGACATCAGTCATATGGATTAAAGAATGGATGGACTCCAGGAACTGAGGGACAGGTGGAGAACATGGGCACAGAGACATACATCAGACACATGGATTAAAGAATGGATGGACTCCAGGAACTGGGGACAGAGAGCCAGGTGGAGAACATGGGCACAGAACATACATCAGTCATATGGATTAAAAGAATGGATGGACTCCAGGAACTGGGGACAGAGAGCCAGGTGGAGAACATGGGCACAGAACATACATCAGACACATGGATTAAAGAATGGATGGACTCCAGGAACTGGGGACAGAGAGCCAGGGGGAGAACATGGGCAGAAAACATACATCAGACACATGGATTAAAGAATGGATGGACTCCAGGAACTGGAGAACAGAGACACATGGATTAAAGCTCAGGTGGAGAACATGGGCACAGAACATACATCAGACACATGGATTAAAGAATGGATGGACTCCAGGAACTGGGGACAGAGAGCCAGGTGGAGAACATGGGCAGGGCAGAACATACATCAGACACATGGATTAAAGAATGGATGGACTCCAGGAACTGGGGACAGAGAGCCAGGTGGAGAACATGGGCACAGAACATACATCAGACACATGGATTAAAGAATGGATGGACTCCAGGAACTGGGGACAGAGAGCCAGGTGGAGAACATGGGCACAGAACATACATCAGACACATGGATTAAAGAATGGATGGACTCCAGGAACTGGGGACAGAGAGCCAGGTGGAGAACATGGGCACAGAACATACATCAGACACATGGATTAAAGAATGGATGGACTCCAGGAACTGGGGACAGAGAGCCAGGTGGAGAACATGGGCACAGAACATACATCAGTCATATGGATTAAAGAATGGATGGACTCCAGGAACTGGGGACAGAGAGCCAGGTGGAGAACATGGGCACAGAACATACATCAGACACATGGATTAAAGAATGGATGGACTCCAGGAACTGGGGACAGAGAGCCATGGGCACAGAACATACATCAGACACATGGATTGAATGGAGAACAGGAACTGGAACATACATCACAGAACATACATCAGACACATGGATTAAAGAATGGATGGACTCCAGGAACTGGGGACAGAGAGCCAGGTGGAGAACATGGGCACAGAACATACATCAGACACATGGATTAAAGAATGGATGGACTCCAGGAACTGGGGACAGAGAGCCAGGTGGAGAACATGGGCAAAAGAATGGATAGACAGAACATACATCAGGGATTAAAGAATGGATGGACTCCAGGAACTGGGGACAGAGAGCCAGGTGGAGAACATGGGCACAGAACATACATCAGTCACATGGATTAAAGAATGGATGGACTCCAGGAACTGGGGACAGAGAGCCAGGTGGAGAACATGGGCACAGAACATACATCAGTCATATGGATTAAAGAATGGATGGACTCCAGGAACTGGGGACAGAGAGCCAGGTGGAGAACATGGGCACAGAACATACATCAGACACATGGATTAAAGAATGGATGGACTCCAGGAACTGGGGACAGAGAGCCAGGTGGAGAACATGGGCACAGAACATACATCAGTCATATGGATTAAAGAATGGATGGACTCCAGGAACTGGGGACAGGGCACAGAACATACAGTCATATGGATTAAAGAATGGATGGACTCCAGGAACTGATGGGCACAGAACATACATCAGACACATGGATTAAAGAGTGGATGGACTCCAGGAACTGGGGACAGAGAAGCCAGGTGGAGAACATGGGCACAGAACATACATCAGACACATGGATTAAAGAATGGATGGACTCCAGGAACTGGGGACAGAGAGCCAGGTGGAGAACATGGGCACAGAACATACATCAGACACATGGATTAAAGAATGGATGGACTCCAGGAACTGGAGCCATGTGGAGAACACGGGCACAGAACATACATCAGACACATGGATTAAAGAGTGGATGGACTCCAGGAACTGGGGACAGAGAGCCAGGTGGAGAACATGGGCACAGAACATACATCAGACACATGGATTAAAGAATGGATAGACTCCAGGAACTGGGGACAGAGAGCCAGGTGGAGAACATGGGCACAGAACATACATCAGACACATGGATTAAAGAATGGATGGACTCCAGGAACTGGAGCCATGTGGAGAACACGGGCACAGAACATACATCAGACACATGGATTAAAGAGTGGATGGACTCCAGGAACTGGGGACAGAGAGCCAGGTGGAGAACATGGGCACAGAACATACATCAGACACATGGATTAAAGAATGGATAGACTCCAGGAACTGGGGACAGAGAAGCCAGGTGGAGAACATGGGCACAGAACATACATCAGTCATATGGATTAAAGAATGGATGGACTCCAGGAACTGGGGACAGGTGGAGAACACGGGCACAGAACATACATCAGACACATGGATTAAAGAGTGGATGGACTCCAGGAACTGGGGACAGAGAAGCCAGGTGGAGAACATGGGCACAGAACATACATCAGTCATATGGATTAAAGAATGGATGGACTCCAGGAACTGGGGACAGAGAGCCAGGTGGAGAACATGGGCACAGAACATACATCAGACACATGGATTAAAGAGTGGATAGGCTCCAGGAACTGGGGACAGAGAGCCAGGTGGAGAACACGGGCACAGAACATACATCAGACACATGGATTAAAGAGTGGATAGGCTCCAGGAACTGGGGACAGAGAGCCAGGTGGAGAACATGGGCACAGAACATACATCAGTCAAATATATCTTCCCTTAAAAATGTCTCACACTTCCAAATAATAATACTGTTAATAATACCATTAATATACATATAGGTATGATATTTTGAAAATAACAGGATCTTTTCTTGTACCTTTTTAACTGCATCACATTTTCGCATGTACAAAGTGAAAATCTATTCAGTAACAATTATTTCTGACATTGCACAAAAATGGTGAAAGAAAGGGCATCATTAGCAAAATACAAAAGAATTTCCATGTTTATTTCAGGGTAAATTGTAATATTATTGATTTTTGGGGTAACTTATGCTATATTTTACTGACCCTTCATGAACATGCTTTGTCAGCAAAGCATCCTCCAGTACTGTCCCACTGAGAAGATAATTGTTACAAATGGAAAGAATACTGCAGCTTTACATTTGTTTGACTTTACAGCTAGTATATGATTACATTTCCAGTAATAACAGCATAGGTCTCTTAATGATGTTACACTTAAAAGTAAGAGTTGTTTACCTTAGATGACTCTTCCACCTCCTTGCCTGTAGTGTAGACGAGGGAGACCAGCTCCTCTATGTCAGTGCTTTCCGTGATGAGCCCAAACCTCACACACACTGAGTCATCATCTGTGTGGCCTGCAAGGGACAAGTCATTCACCATTATTTAATGTCAGGGAAGGCCTGCTCAGAGGCCAGTTTCATAATGTCATTACAAAATGATTGGTATTACAAGTTTCCCAATCCATTTTTATAACCCTCACAAATAACTAGTTTTAATGCTTTGTAGAGTTAAGTATCTGATAACAGTAGGTTGTCAAGTTGTTAATTAGTTCCATTAATATCCTGGCTCAGTCTGGCTGATAGTTCAGCTTTTAACAGGAACTTAGATCTATGAGACAACATTTACCTGTGGAGAATGCTGTGTCCATGGCCTTGAGTTTATGGACCAGTTCACTGTTGAGATTGTTAACCTCATTCTTCCCATTGTCGGGCAGGTCAGCCATCTTGTTGATCCACATCTCTGGGATGAACCTGAAAGGATTGAAAATATATAACTTTCACTTATTCATATCAGTAACACATTACTGTACAGACTGAATTTCCAAAATGGGTTTTCTTGTAATGATAAAGCTACACTTACCAAGTTACGATGTTTTATGCTCTCTAAATTGAGAGTGTTATGTTAAAATAGCTGAGTGGACTTACAAGTCTCATGTTAAAAATTTGTTCTGTGGAATTGTCATCGTATATGTACTGCAAGAGACCGAATACAGATTTTTCCCCATTGATGCTCTCATGTTAGTTGTAAATTTGCAGTATGGAAGTTGCATATTGTGTTAAAACATGCATCAATACAACTGAAGTAATGATGTGTTCATGGTGCTAAATAAAATACCACACAAACAAGTCTAAAGCTAGACCATTATCGTGCCGAATCAATATATCTCCAATCATACTATATGATTCCCTGAAAAATTCAGACCTCCTACAGGACCAGAGTAAACTTTATTTCTCTACTCAAAGTTTGAAGCTAGTACTGCTTGAATTGACAATTTTCTGTCAGTTTCATTCAGCTCCACATTCTAGCTAAATTTTGCCCACCCTTTCATAATTATCATCCTTAAATGTGACTACACAATGAGGACTACCAACAATGGACTTGTACTCCTACTCAGCACCATATAGTAGTCCAGGCCAGGATTGATACACTGATGATGATGTTCACACCATCCCATTGGGGTTCAGCAGCAGACCTACCTGACAGCCCCGAGACCAGCCCAGTTATCTATGTCCACCAGAGCAAGATTGCTATGAGACGCCACTATAGATCGGAACCTCTTCCGCTGAAGACACGTCGCATCTAACACGGACTGGAACAGGGAGGAGACAGTCATGAGTGAGTGAGTCTAGTTTTACGCCGCTTTTAGCAATATTCCAACAATATCCCGGCGGGGGACACCAGAAATGGGCTTCACACATTTTGCCCATGTAGGGAATCGAACCCGGGTCTTCGCCGTGACGAGCGAACGCTTTAACCACTAGGCTACCCCACTGCCCCGGAGACAGTCATGAAGATTTAGGGAAAATGGTGAAATTTCAAGGCCAGACATGCTGACAATCTCAACAGTTTTACACCGCCTTTAGCAATATTCCAGCAATATCACGGCAGGGGACACCAGAAATGGGCTTCACACATTGTACCCATGTGGGGAATTGAACAGGGGTATTCGGCGTGACGAACAAGCACTTTAAGCACTGGGCTAACACACCGCCCTCTCAACAGTTTTAATTTCTGAGGAACATGATTTGGCAATGCACAATTACATGTTGGTAAACATAGAACAAACTTACCAGATTTTCCTTCATACAAACTACAAACTGTTTCACATCCTCCTCTGATGTGCCTCGTCCTGAAACACAAAACAAGGAAAATACAAACAATGCAGGAAGAAAACAAACTACATCAGTACAAATTGATCATCATGATGACCATCTTTATCATCATCATCATCAATATTTCATCATCTTCATGGGGTAATCAATTTAACTCCTTAAAGACCAGTTTTGAGTCCCGACATGGGTGTCCCTTGTCATGAATATAGTATTGCTAAAATCCGCACAAAACCCCAGTAAAGGACCACAGCAGAGATACCTTTTATACATTATAAATCTGTAGTTGAGGCTACTGCCTGTTGAACATTGTATCAATGTATGCCTACCTTGTGCTGTCTCTAGTGGTGCATATCGTATACACACGCCCTCTTTGTCCACCTCTACAGCCTGCACTGGAACCTTTGGGCAGCTAGTCTGCAGCGTCTCCGCAAGCTGGGGAAATACAGCCAACAGTCACATATCTTAACTTGAACATCCAAAGACTTACACGTATTATCTTACTGAGGTGTCAAAGGTTGGCTCGGGGTGTGATATGTAAAATACTGTATCATGATCTTTTCTCATCTACCATCACATTAAATATAAAATGTATCCATATGCAACTTATACAACGGTATCTTGCTGAGGACACATTGTCACAGGACAGTAGCCAAACAGACAACACACTAATTCTAACCCCCAGAGCTGATATCAATGCCTACTCAAATTGCATTAACAAGCTACGTCAACCTTCATTTCTTGTAATACAGTGTGGTTGGTTTTATCACACATGTAAAGTTTCTTATACCACTCATAAGGAATTTATGAAAAAAAAAAGTTAACAGGGTTAATATAGTGGGATCATATGAGGGATTAAGTTTACGACGTTGAGAAAACTTCCACCGTTGAAACACTGACTTTAATAATTTTAATGAATGTTCAACCACATCTGGGACACCTGTCCTCTGTAAGTCCTTTGCTAAAGAGATTCAGAGCTCACACAATTTGTCACTATGGACAGTTATTCCATCACTTGATGTTACCGCTGCTGGTGACCTACCCATGTGTTGAGAGCGTCATAGTACACAGCCTCCTGATCCTCTTCCTGCTTCTCATCCCCATTCACAGAGTAGGGGGCCACAACAGTTCCTGGAGGCATACATATACATATATTATATATCAATCTCTCACAATAGTAGGGGCCACAACAGTTCCTGGAGACATACATATACATATATATCAATCTCTCATAATAGTAGGGGCCATAACAGTTCCTGGAGAGATACATATACATATATATCAATCTCTCACAATAGTAGGGGCCACAACAGTTCCTGGAGACATACATATACATATATATCAATCTCTCACAATAGTAGGGGCCACAACAGTTCCTGGAGACATACATATACATATATATCAATCTCTCACAATAGTAGGGGCCACAACAGTTCCTGGAGACATACATATACATATATATCAATCTCTCACAATAGTAGGGGCCACAACAGTTCCTGGAGACATACATATACATATATATCAATCTCTCACAATAGTAGGGGCCACAACAGTTCCTGGAGACATACATATACATATATATCAATCTCTCACAATAGTAGGGGCCACAACAGTTCCTGGAGACATACATATACATATATATCAATCTCTCACAATAGTAGGGGCCACAACAGTTCCTGGAGACATACATATACATATATATCAATCTCTCACAATAGTAGGGGCCACAACAGTTCCTGGAGACATACATATACATATATATCAATCTCTCACAATAGTAGGGGCCACAACAGTTCCTGGAGACATACATATACATATATATCAATCTCTCACAATAGTAGGGGCCACAACAGTTCCTGGAGACATACATATACATATATATCAATCTCTCACAATAGTAGGGGCCACAACAGTTCCTGGAGACATACATATACATATATATCAATCTCTCACAATAGTAGGGGCCACAACAGTTCCTGGAGACATACATATACATATATATCAATCTCACAATAGTAGGGGCCACAACAGTTCCTGGAGACATACATATACATATATATCAATCTCTCACAATAGTAGGGGCCACAACAGTTCCTGGAGACATACATATACATATATATCAATCTCTCACAATAGTAGGGGCCACAACAGTTCCTGGAGACATATACATATATATCAATCTCTCACAATAGTAGGGGCCACAACAGTTCCTGGAGACATATACATATATATCAATCTCTCACAATAGTAGGGGCCACAACAGTTCCTGGAGACATACACATCAATCTCGCACAATAGTAGGGGGCCACAACAGTTCCTGGAGACATATACATATATATCAATCTCTCACAATAGTAGGGGCCACAACAGTTCCTGGAGACATACATATATATCAATCTCGCACAATAGTAGGGGGCCACAACCGTTCCTGGAGAGATACATATACATATATATCAATCTCTCACAATAGTAGGGGGCCACAACAATCTCGTTCCTGGAGACATACATATATATATCAATCTCAATCTCACAATAGTAGGGGCCACAACAGTTCCTGGAGACATATATATATAAATCAATCTCAAGACAATAGTAGGGCCACAACCGTTCCTGGAGAGATACATACATATATATATCAATCTCGCACAATAGTAGGACCACAACAGTTCCTGGAGAGATACATATATATATATATATATCAATCTCGCCCAATAGTAGGGCCACAACAGTTCCTGGACAGATACATACATATATATATCAATCTCGCCCAATAGTAGAGCCACAACAGTTCCTGGACAGATACATACATATATATATCAATCTCGCACAATATTATGGGCCACAACCGTTCCTGGAGACATACATATATATCATGTGATATCTAATCACATGTACCCCTATTGAAACGGCAAAAATGGATAAGCTTGAGTACAGAGCAGCCATAAAGTTTTTGGTCCTCCAGGGCCACCGGGCAAAGCACATTGAAGAGTGATTGACAGTAGTATGAGTACACCATGGGACTCAGTACTCACCGGAAACTAACGACATGTGCATGTCAATAATATAAACCATTCATCAATGTCATACAGTTATTTTTATCATGCGCATATCAGAAGTATTTTAGATTGAAAACGTTTTGATAGCCCCTCGTACACAAGGCATGTCACTTTATCAAATTTCACAGCCTTTCCTCTTGTTAATTGTTCCTTTCCAGTACTTTTGTGAAAAGAAATACAGTGTGTTCTGTCTGCTGTAAATGTGTCTGAGTAACTGGGCACCAAATGGTAAAGCAGATCTGACAAACACCCTACCTGGAGTAGTGGAGTCTTCACAATAGCGAAACACGATGGTAGGGGTAACTATCTCAAACACAACCTGAAATAACAAACATGAATGTACCCATACATTAAAGGACTACATTATAACTAAAAATGCCATCTTAAGCAAATGACTAAAATTATTCAATATACTCCTTTTCAATATGGACAATTTTCTAATCATACAAAAAGTACACAACTTCAGTGCATGAAATAAGCCAAACACCCAGCCTGACATCAGGGGTGGTAACTTCAAAATGTTACCAGTCCAAAATGGATATAACCAGACCAGACACCAAGATATGGTGAATTTACTCAGATGTATGGAATATGTACGATTTTTACCAGAACATCGGGCTGGCTAGCTGTAAATATCAAAATGTTCAACTTCAAAATGTGTCCAGTCCAAAATGGTTATAGGCAGACCAGACACCAAGATATGGTGAATTTACTCAGATGTATGGAATATGTACGATTTTTACCAGAACATCGGGCTGGCTAGCTGTAAATATCAAAATGTTCAACTTCAAAATGTTACCAGTCCAAAATGGTTATAGGCAGACCAGACACCAAGATATGGTGAATTTACTTAGATGTATGGAATATGTATGATTTTTACCAGAACATCGGGCTGGCTAGCTGTAAATTGGCTAGCATCTCAGGCGGTCGGATGGGCCTTATTTCATACACTGACAACATATTTGTTTGATTAATAACACATTCAGTAATATTTCAGCTATATGATGGTGGCCTGAAGATAATTTAATCTGGACCTGACAATCCAGTGATCGATATGGTGATCAATGACCCACATTTCTAAATATGAGGGCATGCTATCAACCATGTTGCCAAGCATGACTCAAGCTCGTCATGGTTGTTACAATTTAATAAAACAGAAGAATTATGGTATTCCTATCAAAGCAGTAAGACCTAGCACTATTACCAGTTGGTGAGTGAGTGAGTGAGTGAGTGAGTTTAGTTTTACACCACACTCAGCAATATTCCAGCTATATGGCGGCGGTCTGTAAATAATCGAGTCTAGACCAGACAATCCAGTGATCAACAGCATCAACATCGGTCTGCGCAATTGGGACCGATGGCATGTGTCAACCAAGCCAGCGAGCCTGACCACCCGATCCTGTTAGTTGCCTCTTACGACAAGCATGGGTTACTGAAGGTTCATTCTAACACGGACCTTCACGGGTATCACCAGTTGCATATAAAGAACATCTTACCAGTGCACTGATAGCCTGACTAATGAGATCCCCAAACGACCGGACAGTCTTCTTGGGTTCCTTCTTTTCTAAACCCTGAAACATAACCATCAGTGTCAACACTTACTCTCAGGCACAACAGTCCAACCCTAACATACAATGTACTTTGTTATCAACAGTAACCATGAAACAATGCACTTGAGTACGATCCAACTGCCCAGGACATAAGTACCTGTAAGAATGTTTGTGACAGATATCTTGTCTCTGTTAATGACTTTACATTTTACGACTTTTTGTACAATATGAGGTGGGTGGGGTTCTCTGTCTCAGCCCTGTGTTTATTTTTTGTTTTGTTTGTTTGTTGTTTAATGCTGCATTCGGCAATATTCCAGCTTTACCATGTGTTATCTCTAGAAATATTTCCATGAGCTTTCTTCATGTAAGGTTTCTCATCAAGAATGATGATGACTCTGGGTACAAGTACAATACTGATGTCCTTGATTGGTGTTCACATTCCAGCATTATCATGAGTATAATACCTACATATGGGAAATCTGTTTCATGTCTCTGACTTGACAGAAAGTTTGCAAACCTGTATCATGTTCATGTTACAAATCCTAAAGGGATGCTTTCTAAAGTACCCTTGAGCCAGTATACTAAGTGATTCCCTATTTCATTCCTTCAGGAGTTAACTCCCTTCAATAACACACACAACTGACACACACGTTACTCACCACATGTTTTATTGTAGGTACATCTCCTAACAACTCTGTCAGTGTTTTGCCCTGAAATATCAAAGAAGTGGGTTGACAAGAAATAGGAAATTAATATGTACACACCATGAAAACCTGCAGCAACACAAACAATGCATACAATCTGTAGTGAGTGGAGTGAAAAAGAAACATTTGGAGCTTACAGACAGGATTAAATATTAGATAAATGCTGAACAAATAAGTGAAAAATGTCGGTTGAATGTTCACTCACCAAGTCACATGAATGCTTCACCCTGGCTACGATACCATCATGGCCAAGACTCTGCAGGCAGATCCACAAAGGGAGGCAACTCAGCTTGAGCTCTGACACGAATGTGTTGAGGCCAGCTGCATGGTCAAGAGTAGGGTCTGTTGATTTGTACAGTGTCTGGGGCAAGGTTAAAGAAAATAGACCAAACACAGCACACAGCACTTTACATACATGATAAATACATTTGGTTGAATTATACTTTAATAACTGCTAAATAATTTGCAAGATTTTTCAGTCATAACAAATGCACAGCTCATTTCTTTGTAAAGCAATGAACAAAGCCGAAAGCCTTGATTCTAAGAAATATACTAAGAAGAGTTTAATTATCCCTTGCTAAGGAAGAAACAAAGCTCAACTTAGTGAAAGGGTAACCACTTCCGTCAATGATATCAAAGCAATATTATCAAATAGAGGGATGGTAAAGCAATATTGTGTTCATCCTGTAAATTAACAGTTTGTAAAGGACAGCACAAGACTCATGACTTGATGTTATGTAAGGATACTGCATGAGGAAGAGCTGGGATGCCCAGCCAGTTGCTGACATTAATGGTGAGGCTGTCTCCAGACTTGGCAGATTGAATAGAGGTAGGAACTGAGAACATGGTCAGGGTTGCCAAGTTGTTTCTGAAAAATAGTTACATTTTACAAATAAATCATCCCCTATTTAGTGTTCAAACATGAGTGAAGGTGCCCTTGTTATTTTGATTGGATCTTGGATAAACATGATGTAAAATATAACATCAAGGGTAACATATGTTACATTGGGGATTACACTTTCTCAGTAAAACGTCAAGGGCCCCAGGCACCATTCATTGTAAGTCTTGATGTTACATTATAAACATATTAATCACTATTCTAATGTCAATAGTCAGCACAGGTATAATTCATCTACCTCACCAGTAACTCTGAACAATGAACTTTACTCTACATATTACTCAAATGAATTTCAAGAACACCAGTTTCATTCATTTTACTGGAGTGAGTGAGTGATTTGCATGTAAACAGTATTCCAGTTATATCACAGTGACTGCCCAAAGTGATGCAGGCATGGTGCTCTTCAACATAGAAACATAAACGGTGCCAAATTGAACCACGATCATAGATTCTAGGACAAGTTAGATGACTGGGTCACCCATACTGCTACCAGTTATTATAGATAAAGTGTCAGGCAAACATAAAAATATGAAAGAATCGGGCGTTCTTTAAATTACTCAAATTAGCATCTTATAGTCAATGCCTGAACACTATGACCAATATGCTCTTAAAAAAAGACCTACCCTTCTACATGTAGCCAGATGGAGTTTGCCTGACATATTTCTTGAAGTCTTCCAAGTTTGTCAACATGACCAACCACCGGTGTACCTAAAATAATGAGAAATTGGTAACATATTTCAAAAGGCCACTACAATTGTTTCCACATCATAAATCTTCCACCAAACATATGTCAATGATAATTTTGTTATCTCTTAAAACATCACAATAATCATAACAACAACATATCTAGTAGTAGCCATTACAATGTTCAAAATGTGTAAGATTTGGAGATTATTAGAAACTATTTGAACGCTGATATACATATTTTTTAAGAACATATTTTCACATCTGATGGCAGCAGCAAGTACCAGGTACAGGAGCCATGAACGACACTCCAGTCATTCAGTGTAGCAGCAGCTACACCTTGGACATCACATACCTGCAAAAGCCACCAGGAGGACTGGAGTCTTGGCTGCTGCTATGTCATCCTGTATCAGCTTCTCCAACATGGCAACATCCTGTAACGCAAACAAATCATTATGTCTCTTGGAGTTGGACACTTAGAGCCCCTCGATAGGGTGGCTGTAAGACAGAAAACAATCAAGTGATATTTTCCCTAGCCATTCAGAATCATTAATACCTGCATAAGCATGAACCTATTCCTAAATTCAGGTCTAAAGTGGTTAAATTCAGATTCCTTGAGAATTGATGAATTTTACAACAGTTGCGCTTCTATGAATAAGGTGATGTTACATTTTTTTGACAACAGAACAGGAGAAAGAAAGACTGAAGTAATCAAACCGACTTGCAGCCCATCACCACTCACCATCTTGCTGCTGGATCCAAACATTGTGTTACACGGAACTGTACAGATACACGACAAGGGCAAGCCGAGCTGAAACACACAGACTTCATTCCTTACACTTCCAACCAAACAATGTGTTGAGGACACCATACAACTAACAAAACAACTTCTTTGAGTGGCATTTTAGAAGGATGTTCAATCTTGATTCCTGCTTGACAATGGTAGGAGATTCTGTATCAAACGTCACACACAGAAATACAAGAAGTTGTTATCCATAAAGTTTGTTCAAAATTAACAAAATAACTAGCTAAACATAAATCACTTTCAAACACATGTCCACAATTGTAAAATCAAGTTGAAGTAATATTCTTCAGCAGAAAACATTGAACATTACTTCCAAAAAGGATCAATAACATGATATTGATAATATAAGGGAAGAAAATTACAAATAAGAAGGGGCCTTCATTCCTGACAGTTTTAGAACAGACAATTTGGGGACAGTGCACATTTGGCTCCTCACTGTATCTTCTAACTGGACTTAATGTTTAGTAACTGCACAGATACCATGAAGTGGCTGCATAGATACTATGTACTGGTGTAACGATACGGCAACACAACATCGTATTGCAATACGAGGCTCATGATACATTGGTTTAAAATACATATCATATCATGGCCTCATCATATTGTTTCACCTCCAATACCATGAGTACCAGAAAACATAGACCTCTATCTGTACTGGTATAACAGTACATAAACAAATTTCACTCTTCAATTTATCCTCTACTTAAAGCAACTCCACTTTTTGTTTGATCGGCATTCTAGAAGTTAGTGAGTCAATAATAAAGCATACAACTTTACGGATAACTACTTCTTGTTTATTGCACAGAGCAACGTTTCAGTGTAGATTCTTACACAGTTTTTAAGCTAAAAGCTCACTTACACGTTTCAGTGTAAGTGAACTTTTAGCTTAAAAACTGTGCAATAAACAAGGTGTTAACCATAAAGTTGTATGCTTTATCATCTCCACTTTGCCTTATAACATTAGCTTCCAACTACATGTAGTCCATGTTGAGAGTTGCCAACCAAAGCCAGCCATGTTTAACACTAAACATCAGCTCCTCCTACAATGCCAGCCAAGAATCAACCCGGTGACTGACACACATTGCCCAAGACTAGTACCAAGACATGCGATTATTGATTTTGGTAATTCTGAAAATAATGTCTCACCTGTAGACACAGGTAATGTCCGAGCCCGGGTCGAGATGCAGCACTGATGTAGATGACAGGGGGTCGAGAGTACAAAGCCTCGAACCCCTCAGTGGCATATTTGGGATATTTCTGATAAAGAGCCAGGCGACATATCTTGACAAGACCGTCTCGTGGATCTTCATGGTAAACCACAGACGAATCTTCAAATCTGATAAAAAGTTAACAAACACACTTGGGTAAGGACAAATAGATAAGAACGTTAATCTATATTTTCAAAAATGAAATATTTGCTATGTTCAAACATTTTATAACAGTTCCAATAGTCAAAAGACTACACATGACATATACAGACTTCACAAACTATAGCTATATTTTAAAACCACTTTTTCATGAAGATTTATTATTGCTTCAGTGCTTTTACATAAGTACTTGAATATATCATCAAAGACAGAAATTCAAATTGACAGGAAACATTCCAATACGAAAAATGAATAGTTTCAACTACTTAGCTACTTGCACAAATCAGCCTTAGGGCTACAGCAACTGCAAGTCTATACACGCATCAGTCAATCATTATAAGTCATCGACTGGACCCTGCTTGACTGTGTCTCTACCTGAAGAGTCTGGACAGCCAGAGCTGACAGTCTGAAGTAATCCTAGCCGTGAACTTCTTCAAATGTTCCTCGTCCAGTGTTGACACATACGCAGCCAAGCTGTGGGCCATGACCGCCACCTGACCATGATCGTCCAGCTTCTGTAGAAGCACCTCCCTAGACAAGCGAATCCACATGACATGACATGACACATCCATCCATCCACTACAGCAGTTATAATATAACAGAAATATCCTTGATGGTGTTCTATAAACAGCACAAATGTTAATGATGTAAAAGTAACAGTGTATAACTGCTGACACTGTAGACCACACAACCAACAAAAATAAGGCATGAACAATTCAGTGATTTTATGAAACTTTGCTTTGTGTCTGTATCATTGGGATTTTATGAAACTTCACTTCAAAATATAGCATTAATATGTTGTAGATCACTATAGTTTGGCATGAAATGCATGTGGACCCGTTTTTTGTAAATATCTCTTCATCAAATGACCCAATCGATCTCAAACTGTGCAAGTGGATGTTTTGTCAGACAACCTAATCACATTGTAAATCACCGATTTTATGCATTTGTATTAAAGAATCTGTCTATGTAACTGTCAACAAAATATACAGCAGAACGCAGACGGCTTGCAGAGGGAGGGAGCCAATGACCTGTAACAGCGGCAGTGGTGGGTCATAAAGGTAAATGCACATGCAGTTCATGATAGTTACCTGTGCACTGCACAGTGATAGACCGTTTGGATCATTCACATTGACTACTTCTAGCTGTCATCATGAAAGCTTATTCAGATGATGCTAAACGTTTAATTAGAAATGTGTTGAATTTTTTTTAAATAGAGAGCAAACGTAGCAAACCGATTTATAAGGTGTCGGATTACATGAAACGTACAACATTTGCTCTTGGCATGAAAAAGAACATCGTGCTAAAAATTGTGAAAAATAAACCAACAACCAATAAACAAAACCTTGTACAAAAGGTAGGCATCCAAAGTTAGATTCTTTTGACATCAGGGTCATCAGCATAGCTGACCTACATTGATGAACGTTGACCTTTATGACCCACCACTGCCGCTGTTACAGGTCATTGGCTCCCTCCCTCTGCAAGCCGTCTGCGTTCTGCTGTTTATTTTGTTGACAGTTACATAGACAGATTCTTTAATACAAATGCATAAAATAGGTGATTTACAATGTGATTAGGTTGTCTGACAAAACATCCACTTGCACAGTTTGAGATCGATTGGGTCATTTGATGAAGAGATATTTAAAAAAACCCGGGTCCACATGCATTTCATGCCAAACTATAGGTACAGTTATCAAAGAATGTCTCTACCTGTACTTAGCAAGTCCTTTGTACTATTCTTCTCTTGTGCAATTTTTCATAAAGGATAGCTTACACTAGTTTGTACATAGAACTAATTCCAAGTGGAAATGATCACTGCTGACAAGGTGAAGTACAACTTGGAAGTACAAAAGGGCACAGGTAACAATTGTGCAGACCATGAACACATGAGACCAAACACATACTTCCAGTTTTCATGGTTTCAGTGATCTCTGATGCCCCTGTATATGTATACCAAATCAACCAGATACTACTCCCCACACAACTCTGGCCCAATCGTGACTCACCTGTCTTTCGCTGTCTCCGAATCTCCATACAGGATCAGTTCTTCAACTGCTTTTAAAATATCTTCTATTTTCTGTCCACTGAACAAAGCAGGAAATTGAAGATAAATTCTAATAATTCAAAATGTTTGAAACTTCAATACTAAAATAACTGGTATACTGGTTAATGGTATAAAACAATGCACCAAAACTGCAACAAGCTGTAAACACAATAAATAAGTCCTATAAGATCAACCACTTAAATCCATTGTACCACAAAACAAAATAATCATGACCACTGCATAAGACAGCAGGGGTGGAAGATTTGCAGCAATGTATTTTGTTTGTTGTTTAATGCCGCACTCAGCAATATTACAGCTATATGACAGCAGTCTGTAAATAATCAAGTCTGTAAACAATCCAGTGATCAACAGTATGAGCATCGATCTTTGCAATTTCGATACAATGACATGCATCAAACAAGTCAGCGAGCCTGAACACCCACTCCCGTTAGCTGCCTCTTACGACAAGCATGGGATTCTAAACCAGGGATGGCAACAGGAAAATCAATTTTCAGCTGAAAACTTAATATTATGTCATCAAATTGGGGGGTTGAGGGGGATTCAACAGATTTAGACGATTCACAGAATTGATAAATTTGAAACAAAATCGGCGGAACTCAGCAGATCCGCAGAAAATTGCCATCCCTGCTAAACCAGATCTTCAGGGGGGGGGTTGAACAGCAATAGAGGATACATGCAACTCATCCTGCACAACCAGACTAGCCTGGTCTGTGGACTCTTCCATTAAACGCTCCCATAAATCAGATAATGACATCTGTAAAGCAGTAGCCATTACCTTTCCTGCATAAACTGAAGACATGACCTACCCTCCCTTCATCGCCTCTGGAATGTGAGATGTCAGCCTGGACTTGATCCTCTCCTGACGATCTTCGTCCATCTTTCTGAAATAACACACCTCAGGCTGAATATCATAACAATGATTATTACAATCAGAAAGCTTTTTGAATGACAATAATAAAATACTTTACGAACAGAATTTGTGATATGTGACAACTTGAAAAAGAAAAGATATACTTTTTCATAACTGAACCTGTGTAGAAACTGAATATTGATCTTATTAGAATACTCATCTAACACAGCACATTGCAATTACCAGTGAGAAGGAAAGTGAGTGACAGATAACTCCAGATTGACGACCAAAGATAGATGAGTGGTATACCGGTATACAATTTGATAAAATTGAAGCAGCAAATGGCAATGTATTGTATCAGGCTGAATAGGGGGTTATCAACACCTCAACAAACATTCATATCTACGAATTCATGTAAGTCTCGTTTCTGAAAATATTTCAGTCTTAAAAACCAAACCTGATTTTCTTGGAAATACTAGCTGAAGTAGCACTGGTTATTAATTACAGGGGTGGACTGTACTGAAGATTAAGACCCTTCTCTATTGTCCTACTTTAGAACGCCATCCCCATGTCATTGTACAGTTTTTCATGATTCTCCTTAAAAACGAAATATGCACTCATTATTTCATTAATAAAAATACAATTTTAGATGACCCTCCCAACTCATGCGTATTATTTTTTATGACCCTCTCACTGAGACTGTCCTATATTGAGGGTGACCGTCTCCTTTCCCCCTCTGATCTTCTCCCACCCCTTCCAAACTCCCCATAAAAATGACTGGTCCCTAAATCCTACACAACAACATACGTTTTAAATACGTTCATGGAGCAAGAGATATCATAACAAAATTTGTGGCATTCTCTTTTCATGTTGATATGGTTATAATACAGTGAATTTTTAAGTCATCATGATTTTTCAGGAAAAACATGAACAATTTATATTTAAAGACTAGATATAATGATGATAGGTATGAACATATCATATCAAAATGCTTGCTATGTAATGAACCGCATGACATGTAACATTCATACCCTATAGCAATGTCCCAGACTCTCTCTTGCATACTTGGGAGAATCCATTTGAGCTACAGGGAAGGGAAGAGACTGGCTATATCCAACTAACTGTTTACTGAGCTCCATCCAATAATCTATTCATTAATACTATTAGTACAAAAATGGAGACAGTCTGAGTATTTTCCACAAAACAAACTATTAATGTTTTACACTTTTGCCAATAATTTCTTACTCTGTGTTTCTGAATGATCTATTTACTTAACAACCACCTGCAACCCCCCAAGCCCAGAACTCAAACAGAAGTTATGCGATAATGTTTTATGTCCTTGTCCAAGTCTAATACAAACCAATCAGGTTAATATTTGGAGCAAATCTTAATTGGTCTTTGCAATTTGGAAGTATCTTCTTCAAGATTATAATGATTATGAAAGGATTACTCAATCTTGTATTATTTCGACAGCAACCATATTGACTTGCAGCAAGATGTGACATTATCAAAGTCTCTATCACCACATGGTAACAACTTGTGGCCAATACTGCCTCAGGATGAAGAAAGAACTGATAGCAAGTCTTTGTGTGAGTCAGATCAACAGCAAGTAAGACCTTCAGGCTTACAGCATCATTAAATAATTGTGTTGAAACTAGCCTGGGGGGGTTGAACACACTATCTAAATCAGGTAATAGACTTAATCAAGTCTTGAATGTACTTAGGCAAGTCTCGAATGTAAGGTGAACTAATGAGACTCATATTTACCGAAGCTATTTACCAAAGTTATTGCATATGTCAAATATGTTGTAGTTTTAAGCATTTGATACACAGTAACCCTATGAGCCTGGTACAAATAGTGAGTCAGTGAGTTGGGTTTTTATGCCGCTTTTAGCATTATTCCAGCAATATCACTGCGGGGGACACCAGAAATGGGCTTTACACATTGTGCACATGTGGGGATTCGAACCTGGGCCTTGGGTGTGACAAGTGAACCCTTTAACCACCGCCCCCTGGTACAAATAGTTTGTTAATGTGTACACATAAGTGGCTAAAAGATTTGATTTGAGTTTATTATTTATAATAATCCCCCTTTTCACTGCTCATTCAAGATGTTCACAGAAACTTCATTGTGTACACTGACATTTTGTCTGCATGGTAACTAGTGTCAGTACTTGACTAAGGCTGTTACAATTTACTCTCGTATTCAATCGAACCACATCCCTTCATGAATTTAATTCATTATTTGTGATCACTAGAATAAAACATTCATGAACTTTTAAGTTTTTAATACACAATGCCATTTAGGAAGGGGTCAAATTAACACGTTATTTTGGGATTACACTTTCTCAGTAAAAGTATTCTAGTACTATTGTTCGATTGAGTCCCATCCAAGATTCGAACTCACACACTCAGTCAGGCACTTATTCATCAACACTCAAAGTCAGCTGCCTAACCCACTCAGCCACTGTGGCTTCTTCAAAAATGGTCACGATATGGCTGAAATATTGCCGATGTGACTTAAAATCTTAACTCACTCACTCTTCAAAAATGGAAGTTGGACAACTAGTAGTCTAGACCACAGACTATGTGTACCCTTCTGATAAGTGTACATTGGGAGGGAATATGAACTGGAAGATTCTCTCATATGAATTACATTGCATTTCATTTTCATATCTGGACCTGCTCATATGCCGATATTTGGTGTTAAAAAATCACTAAGATTTCAATATACTGTAACACTAAATGTCTGAGTAAAATCAACACAACAAGCCCTCTGACTGCCCAGTACACAAAATAACATTCTGCCACTCAGGACATAAAGCCTCAAATCATGGTATACTTACTGGCTGATTCTATCCAGGACTTCATTACTTTTGGCCACATTCCTCTCTAGTTCTGCCAGCATGGGGGACATGAAGCCCTGAAGAGTAGCAATATGCGACAGTGTAGCAACTTCAACATCTATCCATGTGAGAATATGACTATCACATATCTGGAGCATGTTTTCTCTGTATCTTTCTTTTGCATGTTGTAATTCTTCATCAATAAAATAGCAAATCTTTTCAATGACATTTTTAAAACACATGCTCAAAAATGTTGAACAGCACCATGGTTGAAACCTTTAGCATGTAAAGAGAGTTTGGATTCCTTATAATGATTATAAATATATACCAAGGGTATTGAGTTTTTTCATTATGAAAATGAATTATTACAATGAAAAAAGAATGAATCAATTATTAATTAAATCAATTTCAAATGCCAGAGGACTTAAATATATGATTTTGGTACAGGTGAGGTGAGATGAAATAGGGTTTAATCATGTTAATCATGTGAATGTTGCACTTAAGAATATTTCGCTCATATGACTAAATACTTGCGTGTGTATGTGTGGCTGCTTGTGCTACCCCAGACTTAAGCTGGTTTTATAGTGCTAGCTCATGGAGATATCATGCCACAGTTAAGCATGAATACCCCACTCAGACACATTATAATTTATACTGACTCCGAGCCAACCAGTCCTTGGTGTACCAATTAATGCTGAGCGCCAGACAGGGACCAACAATTACCATTGATTGAACCCGCAACCTTCTCTCCGGGACAGATGCTCTAACCACTACACCATGGCAGTGGTTGATTTTGGTACAGACGGATCACTGCTGAAAATGTCATATATTTGTGGCATGTCATTAACAGATGACTATGACTATGATTTAAAGTTATCATTTTGATTGTAGTATTAATGTTTATGTCTGGTGTTATCTGTCCATGTTGTTACTCACACAGTGTGCATGGTGTATGTCCAGTCAATGATCCCTTATCTGGTCAGTATGTTTTAACCTGTCACTAATTAAATACCTAATGAATAGTCATACATTTGAAACTAAAACATGTTAAAGAAACATCTGACTTAATTACTGTTAATCATGAATAACTACTAAATTATCATGCTTTTGGAGGAACATCTGTTAATTTATATTTGGTAATCTGATTTATGTTTGAACATACTTAGAAAATTATGTGTAAGATTATTCATCCCATCAATTTGGAATTTGATTTGAAGCTAATTCTGCTGCTGGTGTGATCTCATGGTTAATGTGTTTGCTATTCATGCCGTACATCCTTGATCTGGCTATGACTTCTTACCTGTTTGAAGCTGAATGTTTCAAGTCACCCAGATCACACATTACATAATAATTACAATTCAATGTTGGACTAAAGTTAATAAAATAAAAATGAAGAAAATAATAAAAGTTCAAAGATCCTGAACCGCAAAACGTCGACAATCGCAACACATTGTGGGGATGTCCTCAATGACCAGCTCAAATAATCTATTGACCATTTCCTGGTGCATCAACACATCATATACACCGGGCGAGATAATGTAAACTACAAATGAGATGGATTCCTAGCTCTTTAAGATACATAACATGAAGAAGAACAGAGAAATGCAACACCTGTAGATATGGCAACAAGATACCCAAACATTGAAACCGATCACATAAGCAGAAGAAAATAAATGGACCCTTACGCCTTGAAATTTCCTTTCAGCATATCGTGAACTTTCATCAAGTCGGTCGAGGAAACCTTTCGATTTTGCTTTTTCGGGGACCTCTGCACTTCTTTCCATGGTTGGCACGTCAGTCGACTTGCTGTCAGGTGCCTGTTGTACCTTGGAATTCTCAGTTGCAGATGACGAATCGGCCATTGCAAGTTATTACACGCTGGCACACAAGCTCCTAACAGAGATGCGTCGTTTCCTGCGACGGGGGTTGTTTCATAAGGAGAGTGCAACGTGGTAGCATTGAAAAACACTGTGTTGGAGCTTGGTTGTAGGTGATCGTAAACCGTTCAGAAATGTTGTAAACACAACAGTCGTAAACGGATATTTCCCATATGTGGTCTCTATATGTGTCACAGAGCGATAAGTAAGTAATGTTATGATTGAAACAGGTACAAGTAATTGAATTTCGTTCGACGTTATTTTCTAAAATGTATTTAATCCTTTTACGACATTTCCACATCTGTTAACTTGCGAATCAACAGGTAGCGGTACAGAAGTAGACTTGAAATATTCGGTTTGTACACATTTACTTGGCAAATTCTGTTGCCATTTTATCGGACAATCCTTCCGTACCTCCCTCTGGTGTTGTTTGGGTGTTTTTATTTGGTAGTACGACTGTTGTTTCGGTTTGCGCATTGAAACGTTTTTGTTGGCGTTAGTGACTGATAACAGGCATTTTGAAGTATAAGATCATAGACAGAATTTTACCAAGCAGATCTACTGCTTGTCCCACCATAGTCACTAGTCTATGATTTCTGACCAAACAAAATGCCTCCGTATTTGCATTCCTTTCCTTCTCTGTAAGCTTTTCTTGCATATATTGTAGAATAGCTGTTTAACTACATACTGAGGATGAGTCATCGAATAGAACTGGAATAATTATTCGCAACGAGATATGGTTATGAATTATGAACCAAGCATTTTAGTGTCTGTGTGATAGTTGGTAGTGGCCAGTTTCTTCTTTCCTGTTCAGATGTTTGGTTTTCATCAAAACTATGAGGTGACTGTTGATCCTTGATCTTCATTTTAAGAGTAAAACGTTTGCAGATTCAGAAGTTATTGAAGTTGTTGAAAATGAGTGAATCAAACTAGGGGTGGTGTATCACAAACATGTAACATTAATACATAACATTTGTTTCTAAATATCAGTTTCTTTTTTACTTTCAGGTAATATTCTTCATTTTCGAAACCAGACGTACCTAAACCACGAATACCTCACACTTCGGAAGTGTCTAATCAAAAACAAAGATGGAGACTGTCAACTTGACAAGATCTGTTCTGGTGTGCAACATGTTCCACTTCTGTTTTGCAGCTGCAAAGGCATCGCTCATACCCTTTCTGACAATCTTTTGCCGTCTCATCGGCCTGTCTGCTACAGAAACAGGCATCATAATGGCTGCTAAGACTGCAACTGGGTTTGTGTGGGCACCGTTATGGTCCAAGTGTGCAATAGCTTACAACAAAAGGAGAACTGTTCTCATGTTCTCGTTGTTCATTATGGCAGCAACATATCTCTCACTTTCATTTGTGTTCAGTCATCTGAAAAATGCAGAAGCTATATGTCAGACACCCAGGGATGGACATGTTGGAAACACTAGTAAGTCATATCTCAATACCACCTTGACAACACAGCCACCAGTTAGTAAGCATCTTCAAAATGCTGTGAAGGATCAGTCATTAGCTGATAAACTAACTACTGCATCTGTTTTGGGTGAAGGAGGAACCAGTGTAGCTACAACTATTAGAACTACAACTGAAACAGCTTCTACAACAAAACAGACCACAACAACAAAAATCTCATCGACAACTTCTTCACCATCTACCACTGTCAAAGTGAAAGAGCCATCAACTACTGTTTCATCTGCATCTAACCTGCACAAGCCAGTTAACGATACAGATGCAGACATCATTGGCCTTATAAAACAACTGTTGCAACAGATAGGATACACTATCAAGGACATTAAGGACAATAAACTCACGTCTAAGGAGGTGTTCTTATTGATTACCACACAGTACCCTGACACAGGGTTATCTCAGGCTGTGTTTGATGATCTTTGGCCAAAATTGATGAATTCTGAAGGAAGGACCAGCCACAGAGGAGGAAACAGGCACACAAGAGACATCCATGACACATGGAACTCTTTCAAGGGCAAGATGACGAATCTAGTTACTGAGATCGAGGAGAGGAAGATGGAGATGTTCCTCATTGTCCTTGTGGTTGTGATGCTAGGTGAGTTCATGTGTTCTCCTATCGAAAAAGTGGCTGATGATTCTTGGTTTGATTTCCTGGACAGAGTTGATGATCTGGAGAAGTATGGGAAACAGAGATTATCAGGCTCAATTGCATTCACACTTTTCCCGCTCATTGTGACCTTAGCTGTGGATTACTCTGATTGTTTGCTTCCATACAAGCTCCATCATTTTCTCATCCATTTTTATGTGTTTGGTGTCTTCATGGGACTGACATTCTTGATCGCCTTTTTCTACCCGGTGCCACCTCCTGAAAAGAAGAGAACCAAGAGTAAGGTTGTGAGAGGACTGCAAATAATCTGCTGTGACTGCCGTGGTTTCCTTTATGTGGTCACTCTGCTCATCATGGGAGCTACCTATGCCTCAGTTCACAACTACCTGTTTTGGCTCATCCAGGACCGTGGAGGAAAGGAGGTGAACATGGGACTCTGTGTCACCATTGGTGCCTTTGTTGAAATCCCAATGCTCATGTTCAGCAGCAAGTTGGTGAATAAAATAGGAAATGCTGGAGTTGTGACACTTTCCCTCCTGGCAATGACTGTCCGTACACTATATTATTCCTTTTTGATGGTGCCTTGGGCAGTACTCCCAGCTGAACTATTGCATGCATTCACTCATACTGCTATGTGGTACGCTATTCTCAGCTATGAAGATTTCAATGTTGGTCCTGCTGTTGACAGAAGTATCCGATCCATCCTATCGTCCGTATACTTTGGTGTTGGCTTTTCTGCTGGAAGTGTGTTTTCAGGCATATTGTATGATTTGTTTGGTACGTCTGTGCTGTATTGGACAGGAAGTGTCCTTACTGGGATTTGGGCATTGGTGTACCTGGTCATCTCTCTGTGTCTTCCAAAGAAGGAGAAAATCAAGTATGTGCGTCTTCTCCGATCAGATGATATGGATGATTCTGATGGAGATGCTGATGACTGGCTCGAAATGGCTCTCAAGGACCAGTAAAAGATCTGGTATTATTATCACGATCATTTAGCAGTTGTTTTGTATTTTATGTATGTATTTATGTATTTGATTTTGATTGTAGTCATCGTAACTATTTCATGGATGTATATAGTTGGAGTCGTGTCAGTTCATTTTGAAAGAGAGAATTTGCAAGATATATTGCATCATACTGTTAAACTGAAAATGAAAGCATGGTTCATTAATATCATTTAAACCCATGTGCCATAATTCTTTTTGAACATGTTGAGATAGTCTTTGATGTGAAAGGTAAGATCATCCTGTCAATTGGTACCAAGGGCTTGTGACTTACGTTTGACAGGTGAACTCATGCAGACTAATGCAACATGACAAAATACTGATGTTTGAGAGACAACTGGAACATATATAACATGTTTCAAGACTGGAATAGCCTATTTTATTGGTTGGATTTGTATGCTTATACATGTGTTTGTTAAGTACTATACATGTTATATCTTTCCAAAAACCAGCTAAAATATATTGAATCTCTGTTATTTGTATGGAAAGGAAATATGACTGAAAGTGATTGGAATTCCAGTTTCAAACAAGGCTATTTATTTGTAAATTTGTCTTAGAAATAATGTTATTGCCAGTAGTGTGTCAGTAATCTTGGTGGGTATTTATGTTAATGTTGCTTGGTGGTGATGCCATGTTTTGGTGAGGAATTATATATCTCATATATGTTGTTGTTCCTCTAGTACATTGCGAAGGGCATGGACCTATTTGATTGATTGAGGGCAAGGGCTTGTACATGGTGAGTGTCTTGTTTGAAAGGAATGTCCATGATATTTGAGGATGTGTGGTGGTTTGGAATCAACAGGTAGTCATTGTGTGTACGTAATATGGAAACTTGTCAGGCATAGAATAATAGATGTGTGTTTATTGAAAGTTAAACATAGACAGTGTTAGATGTATTAATCATGTTAGGAATCGGATTCACCATATTCATCGTAGTTAGTGCTCTTGGATCAGTTCCAAAATACAGACTTAGTCCTGTGACCATCATCCTCACATGGGCAAAACAAAGCCTATTTTTTGGTCCACCATGATATTGCTTGAATATTATTTAATCTAAAGTGGAACAATACCTACCCCGGTAGCATAAATGACATGTGGTAGGGCATTTGCTGATGGTGTGGTTTTAAGTTCTGTATTTATCCTCTTACCGTTGTATTTATTGTAAATCGCCAGACAATTTGAGAGAAAGTACATTATGTTCTCCTTGGGGTGAACAGGTGTCAAACTTCAGCATTCATGAGACCCTAAGGGTATGCTGTTGTCTGAACCTGCTTCCCAACAGTCCAATATTTACTGTCCCTGGGCACTCGTTAGGTTGAATATGCTGCATGCTCTTGTTTGTGTTTGTGTTTAGTCAGATCGTATGCCTGAAGCCTGACTTGATCTTAAGTGGTTTGGGGAGCTCACAATTTTCAATTAGTTGAAGTCCAATGTGGAAATGAACGCAGTGGTTTCAGTGAGAGAGCGTGTTCACAGAGCATGATGCATGAAAAACACTATGTATGTAGTATGTTATGCGTTATCCATGAAAAAGAGACATTCCAACCAAAGGCATTCAGAAATAGACATACATCCCATTTTCGCATGAGTAAAGCTTCAATATTCATGAGCTTTGAGCTCTGAATAGTACACAGTACAAAAGTACACAGACCTTTCTGACTAGCATTGTTTGATATTGTTCACATCACTACCATGACCATGATGACTACGGTTCTTATTTTTAGTACTTCCAACTTGATTGTATCCAAGCTGTACTGGTTCTTTCCTCATGAACCCCATCATGAGAAACTACCAAATGTTTTAGATTGTGAACCATAACCAGTTTCATAGAAGAGTTTTCAAAAGTCTCAATGTAATATTTCAAAAGTCTCCATGTCCATGTTTCATTGACTTGGAAGTTGAAACCACATGTCAACCACTCCATATCAAATGCTGGTTGTAAATCAGATATTTTTACATGAATATTTTATGTGTTATATAATGAAAGTGGCCTTCCTCTGTAATGTATTATCATGCTGTATGTGTCTTTGCTACTTTAATGTAGCGAATTGTTTTATGTGTTTTGATATCTCCATGACACTTAAACATCATTCCATGCACGGCCCATGCCAACAGTACACGATCATTTACCATTGGTCAGGATTTCAGTTCTTGTTTAGTAGAATACAGTCACTTCCTGCTGACATGACCTTGTGTGGTTTGCCAGTAATGAGTATGTATATGTTACATGATATAATCATTCACCATTGGTCAGGATTTCAGTTCTTATTTAGTAGAATACAATCACTTCCATCTGACATGACCAATGTGTTGTTTGCCAGTATATACATGATATAATCATTCACCACTGGACAGAACTTCACCCTTAATTGTTTTTGAGCAGCCACTGGAGAAGGGGAGGGAGCTGTCTTGAATGTGTGCCATGTTAATGATAGTTACATTATGATCAGCTTGAGAGAAACTGGTACAGGGTGTGTTTGAAGCTCATTAAGTGTGTAGGTCTACTATTATGACCTTTATGATTTGCATTCTCCATGCCAGCATTGGAACTAGTTTCCTGTACATGACTCGCACTGATGGCAGTCCTAAAACTAATCATGCCAATGTAACCATGGTAACAGAATAACCTTGAAGTTGAAACCTTGAAACAAGGCTGTCATGTTACAGAAACTTTATGCAGCATTATGTGGCATCACATGTTTTAAGGTCATTACATGCATTATCACTACTGCACTTCTCCTCGAGGCATCATAGTTTGTGAAATAAGTTAAGTGAACTGGTTGTGACAAACTCATAATGCTGATGTTGCTCACTGTATTCTCTCTCCATCTGTTAGTTTTCATGATGGTCCCAGGCAGTAGCACAACATCAGGACCTGGAGGTGTTAATATTTGTAAGAATTATTGATAGGTGTCACATTACACTGTGACTATTGACTTTAATGTATTACACTTGTGTTCTCTGTGTATATGAATCTTGCAGTGATGGCATCAGATCATTGTCTCATGTGAATGTTAAGGAAATTGAGGAGGTCAGAATTTCAACAATACTAATTTCAGTTTGTGATTGCCATTTTCTCTCATCTGTGCTCTCTGTCTCATTAGTAAACAAAGTTCATGGTTACCGTAGTTTACTAGACACATTAAACACAACATGATGCATTATAGTGCTTTGGTTGACAATCGAAAGGTAATCATTTCAAGTTCGTTTTATTTCTTTTCAAAACAACATGTTGATAACAAAAGAGGCATCATTATTATGTTATATTGTATAAAAATATTTACAGACTGATCCATCATATGTATTTTTATATGAATAATGAATTCTTATGAACATGGTTATTGAAAAGGTTGCTACATGTTTTGGATGTGCATATTAATGTTAAACTGTATGCAACTACAACTTTCATCATAGAGCAATGCTTTCCTACATCTGTATTAACATGGAGCATTATCCACAGCCTCACTGTGGATCAGAATGGGATCTGTTCCTGGGCATGTGTTTATTGTCAAACCTATGTCCAACATAGAGCATACTAAACGATGTCCCGTGTAATACCATATTTATGAAATGAGTGAATGGTTTGGTATCTAACGAGCGAAAGTGAGTTAGATACCAGTACCATTCATGAGTTTCATAAATACGGTATTACACGGGACATAGTTTAGTATTTTATTTATTACTCACACAACATTTGCAAAATAATATCGAGCAAAGTACTTCTTTCTAAGAATTCAACAAGATTGATGACCCTCAGCTTTCTGCGAGTCAAGCAAGGTCTAATACTATTGTGACAGAGGTGACACAATGTGTAATAACATTGTAAAATTATTAAACAGTGATATCTTCAACGGGTGAGTAATAAAGATAATTTTGTTATACATGTTATTGGTTGTATGGGACTGGGGCTGCCTGAAAATCATTTTAATGATTGGTTAGAGTATGATTTTTATGTCATGGAGAATGATGGTTGTGTTGATGCCATGTACCACAGTGCAGTTTGTGACAGCTCAATTATTTACTTTTTACATACAATATCTATATTTTGGTGCAGAAATATAATGTTCTGTTCTCATACTACCCAACTATATATGTATGTGTTTTGGTGCTGACAAACAGTTATATATACTGAGAGAAACAAATAAAGGATCACAGGAATATCCAAGCTTTCCTTTATTATATTCCAGTTTTCATCACCAGCTTTGAATGGCGCTGTGGCGATGAAAACTGGAAAATAATAAAGGAATGCTTGCATATTCCTGTGATCCTTTATTTATTTCTCTCAGTATATTTACATTCTCATCAAATATTACTGATATGAATAAAAATTAATTAACTGCAGCTTAAAGCAAACAGTATTTTCATATAATCCGAAACATATTTTTTTCTGATGAAACAACTTTTGCATCAGGTTGTTTTGGTCTTACTTTTGTAATATTATGGGTAAAGAAATATATTGTATAATTGCCATTTGTCAGAGTTATTTGCTTTTGGTCAATAATTCATTGGAAGTAGGTGGATAATGTATGCATTCTTTCGTCACTTTTGAAACATATATAAAACATCAGCTAGTACACACTGTTTATCTAGAAAATACATTTCTTTTAATTCTTTATAACTTGTTTGGAATCTCACATATCTATTTATTCTTTTTACTGGTGTTTCTGATCAGTTCCTATCAAAACTCTAAGTGGGTGAAAGATGTTTTGTATGTACATTATACAGGAGAAATGTTACTTTCAGATTTGTATGGTCAGTATTAATTGATGGTATTTACCTTTTCTGTTTACTGGCTACTTGTATCACATGACATTTAGTTGTGTTATTTTACGTGCAATTATATATGATTTGTGATATTTTATGTTATGATTACTTAAGATTATGTGTATCAAAATATTTCAGCTCCATTGTTGTGTATGTAAGAGGTTGTGGGAAGTATTTTCAGCTAGCAAAGTTGTAAATAATCTTTTATTACAGTATGTGTTGTTCGAGTTTCTCAACGTAACAGTTATATTGAGCTTCGTGCTATTTTGACATAGCCAGAGCTGATGGTGTCCCATATTTCTTTATCACTTATATCTCAGTTTAAAAACTTGTGGACAATAACAATGATTTAGAATAAATGACATTTAGCTGAGTATAACATTATGTTCTTGTAAAGATGAAATAATATAATGTTGTATAGCTTGTTATGGAGGAATTCCTCGCAAGGAGTAACCCACAAATGACGATATGTTGGTGAAAAACATTCCCATTGCACACACATGCCTTAACAAAATATATATGGTAACATTATACAGATTGCTGGAGGCAAGTGCCTTATATTCTACCTAATATCAGCAAGTCAGAAAATACTACTTTCCTACTTGTCATTAAATATGAGATGTCATGTTAGTATGTAGTGAGCAGTGCAAATTTTTAGAAGCTTGTATAGTTTACTGATCAAGTTCCTTTTGTTTCAGTCATGCTTAATAAGTGACATAACTTATTAAGTTCGTTGTGTTAAGTCAGGCTTAGTAAGTTATATAACTTATCCAGTTCTTGATGTTTATGTCCTACAACATCAGTGACATTTATCCAATTCCTCACATTTATGAAAGGCTTTATATTACAGTATTGGGAAGTCTTCACCCTGTTCCTTATGCATAAGTCTGTATATGTTTCATTACTTGCTTAAGTTCCTCATACTTTACTTGACAATCATTTAGGGATACCTTTATCGAGTTTATGTGTGTATCTTAAATATTAGTGTCTAGTTTACTCCATTTACTTTGATTTACTGTAGCCCGTAGTGTAAATTATTGTCAGATCATGAAGTATTTACTTTTCTTGTTTCTTTTGTATACCATAGTTCCATATTTGTTCAGATGAAATCCAATATACAAGATGTTGATATTAACACATTCTATTTGTTTTGTATCTCTTGCCAGGTAGATATATATATATATGTCCATATACAGTATTTACTTACATGTATATATGCCTTGCAAATCTCTGGTAGTATGTTGTCTTTTGTTTTGGGATATGTTCTTGTTAACTTGTTTTGTTGCTCTGAAAGAGTATTTCTTTAGCAAGCACTCCATGACAAAGATACCTGCCTTTGCTTTTTATGTGTGGTGCGAAGGAATGCATTCAGACACACTTTGACATGCAGGCACATGCACACAAACACACACAGAGGCACACAATGTTTAAATACTTTAGTATATGATACAAACTAATAAAGTGTCTTTGAAGTACATGTTGTATGATTTTCAATTGTTACAGTATTTTCATGTGTAATTATAATAAGCATTACAATGACATGTGTACCATATTTCCTCTAATAAGCGCCCGGTCTATAATAAGGGCCGGGGATAAAGCAGCGGTTTAAGAAATAAGCCCTTGGCCTCTAAAGAGTGCCGAGTCTCTAATAAGCGCCGAGTACGTTTTATTAAAAATGTATTCTCCCTTGATCCTAAATCTATCTATTAAGGAATGGTTCCTAAAGTTGACGTAACGTTGATGTCCAGGCGTATATTAGAGGAAATACAGTATATACTGAATGTGCAGATACCATTTTATATTTCCATCTGTACGACAGTTCCAAAACCAAAATCCAAAAATGTGTTCAGTGAGAGGATAAACTACAGGGAAAAAAAAAATATACACCATTTTCAGTGTTATTATGACTGTTTGCAGCCTATCAAAATTTTGATAACAAGTGATTTTTATGTCTGCTGCAATTTTCAGGTGTATACTTTTTTTTTGCAGACAGTTTAGGTGATGATAACAAGGAAGAAACTGACATTCCATAGTCCACATGGTGATATAACTGAAAGGAGGTGTGACTTTTGTGCATAATTGGATGCTTATTCTTGCTCAAGTGTGAAGGGGCCTTTGTGTTACTGCTGATAGCAATAACTTTTACATTTGTTCTGTTTTTCTTTGAACATGTTATGAAATATATTCATTATGTTCTGATAGTTTAATGAAAGATTAAATGAATTAATATTTCCAAATAAGAAAAATAAAGCTATTAAACGTTATTTGAAGTATGTTATTTTTCTCTATGGGTGGACAATATTGTGACATCATTACAGTCCTGACAACTTGAAATAGAAGAAAAAAGTATTGTGATTATTTATTAAAGGAAATAACTGCATGTGTTTAAATGCTAATGAAGGTCAAAAAAGCTATCCTGGTGATAAGGAATATTACTTACAGCACTGACAAATTTGGAGAATGCACTTTTTAAGAAATAGTCCTGAAAAACAATTGACAAGTAGTATTTAAAGAATAGCTGACCCAGTTTTGAGATGTACACACACTATTTCATGTGGCAGGAACCAACCCATGGTTTAGAAATAACCATGTTCATAGAAATTGTATATGCATGAATATGTTTTTACATCAACTGAAGTGCATGGATGATTTCATTTGAATCTTATTTTGACCTAAGATCAGAATGACATCACTCCAGAACAATTTCATTTCTGAAGATTTTTTATGTCATTTAACAATTGTCATCTGAGACAGTGGTCACGATCAGTGCATGTTTCTAAAGAGGAACTTAAAAAGATAATGAAATATTTAGTCTCTAAATAATCAGTTCCATACCAGACAATCCAGTGATTGACATCATGAAGTTTGACCTCATTGATATCGTTGTATCGATGCATCGATACATTTTTACTGACGATACGATACGCGATACATGCTTGCTTGTATCGATTCCTATTTTAAAACTTTATCGATTCAATTTTTTATGCTATATCCGTCTCCTTCAAAGTCTTGATAGTAAAATTATACGAGACCGCTCTGATAAATAGATGTAGCTAGCTTTACTTAAAAAATAGGTTGGAAACTAACAGCTTTTGTGATTGGCTAGACTATTTTGATGGACCAATCAGCGAGCGCGTCTACGTTGCCGGTAAGGTAATGCTATGAAAAGGCGCGAAAATTATGTATCGCGATACGTATCGTATCGTGACCTTAGAATCGTGATACGTATCGTATCGTGAGATTGGTGTATTCGTGACACCCCTAGTTGTTATTGAGTTGCTGGGGTAGCCTAGCGGTTACAGCATTCACTGTTCATGCAGAAGATAGTTGAAACCTATTATTGTTGTCCCGGGCTATCATATTGTTAGATTAGAGGGGCATAAAACATGAATCACTCACTCATGTTTGCAGCTACATACTCAAGATGCTATTTTCATGTAGTGAACAACTATATATTCAGATGACTGTTTGTGTATCATATTCCTTTATTCAATTTATGATGCAATAATGCATGTGTAAAATATGTGAAATGTAAACCTAAAGAGGTCACTGTGTTTGATTAATTACAAGACTCTGTGAAGCTAGTTATAGTGTTATGTTCTGAAAATATGCATAGTGACTGTTAACAGTTGTACATCAAACAGTGCAAGCATTAAACTACGTCACCTCTGGGGAAAGTTAAATGTGAAGACTGTAAAGGTTGTATATATAGACTCCCTGTTGTATATATAGACTCCCTGTTGTATGTAAGGACTCCCTGTTGTATATATAGGTCTCCCTGTTGTATGTAAAGACTCCCTGTTGTATGTAAAGACTCCCTGTTGTATGTAAGGACTCCCTGTTGTATGTAAAGACTCCCTGTTGTATGTAAGGACTCCCTGTTGTATGTAAAGACTCCCTGTTATATATATAGTCTCCCTGTTGTATGTAAGGACTCCCTGATGTATGTAAGGACTCCCTGTTGTATGTAAAGACTCCCTGTTGTATGTAAAGACTCCCTGTTATATATATAGTCTCCCTGATGTATGTAAGGACTCCCTGTTGTATGTAAAGACTCCCTGTTATATATATATAGTCTCCCTGATGTATGTAAGGACTCCCTGTTGTATGTAAAGACTCCCTGTTATATATATAGTCTCCCTGTTGTATGTAAGGACTCCCTGATGTATGTAAGGACTCCCTGTTGTATGTAAAGACTCCCTGTTGTATGTAAAGACTCCCTGTTCTATATATAGTCTCCCTGATGTATGTAAGGACTCCCTGTTGTATGTAAAGACTCCCTGTTATATATATGGTCTCCCTGATGTATGTAAGGACTCCCTGTTGTATGTAAAGACTCCCTGTTATATATATAGTCTCCCTGTTGTATGTAAGGACTCCCTGTTGTATATATAGTCTCCCTGTTGTATGTAAGGACTCCCTGTTGTATGTAAAGACTCCCTGTTGTATGTAAAGACGCCCTGTTGTATGTAAAGACTCCCTGTTGTATGTAAAGACTCCCTGTTGTATGTAAAGACTCCCTGTTGTATGTAAGGACTCCCTGTTGTATGTAAGGACTCCCTGTTGTATGTAAAGACTCCCTGTTGTATATATAGACTCCCTGTTGTATGTAAAGACTCCCTGTTGTATGTAAAGACTCCCTGTTGTATGTAAGGACTCCCTGTTGTATGTAAGGACTCCCTGTTGTATGTAAAGACTCCCTGTTGTATGTAAAGACTCCCTGTTGTATATATAGACTCCCTGTTGTATGTAAAGACTCCCTGTTGTATGTAAAGACATTAATTAAAATCAAAGTGTATTGGATGAAGTGGTGGGGAGCATAAACGCGACTGAAGTCCTGCCAGTAATAAATGGCTCTACCTGCTAGTAGAAGTGGTGGTGATGATTCAAGGCTGTGTGACCTAGAGCTGTCTGACCACATGTTGCCATGATATATGCAGTAGGTAGGCAGCTGTCACGTATCAGCATTACTGGTTAGTCTGTCTACCCACCAGTATCACAGCTGGTGAATACGCTTCCACACAACGGAATACAGAGTGTGGGCGCCTTCGTTACAACTTTCTGCCCCGATCGTAATTGTTTTATGATGGGCTTGATGTATTGTGTGCAAGATTTAAGATCGTATTATCGGGATGTTATCACGGACTTAAACTGCTTGTTATCAATTCAGTGCACTGCATTACTACAGTAGGTCCATTGGGTGCGAACCGCTTTTGAATTTTGAAAAGTTTTCGGGACTAAGCATTATGGTATGCGAAACGCAATTAAAATTGTATTTGGTATCCGATTCAACGTTTAGGGACCGTTCATAACTTATGGCTAGGGGCTGATGATTATTTTTATGGAGAAGCATGTACAATGTGAATGACCCCCCACCCCTAAATATATGTACAAAATAAGTGACACCCCCTGCATGTCATGTACAAAATCAATGACGCCCCCTTCCCATAAATTCTAAGCATAATTTTAAACATATTTTATGTACAAAATGTGCTGACCCCCTAGTACATGTGTACAAAATTGATGACACCCCCAGCTCCCAGAACAAAATGGGTGACCCCTTAATATCATCATCAAACCCCCACCCCAAGCAATAAATTATGAACGGTCCCTTGAAAGGTAAAATGGTGTACGTAAATTCGGTATACAATTTATTAATGCCGATATTCTTTCAGTAATTTCTCTTCTAATCCCTCCATTTTCTCACGATATTTAGATTTGCTTTAGTAGTTGTGATTCGGGAGTAAGCACTGAGACCAATGTTAAAAAGCAGATGAAATTTAGTGGAAGGCCATCCTCTATATTGTTCCTGTTGGATATGCTTCATTTGAATTTTTGAGTTGAAGGGGCATTTGACCACGAATGTATGAAATATCTTATTATTAAGCGTTCGTGATAGGACGAACGATTCACCACATGTAATGTGAATACCAGGTTATGTATTCTTTTGAAGAGTTTTACTGTTCGTAACTGTATATCCCATGAGTAACGTTATCTTGTCGATATGCACTATGTTCATGGGTCCCTGTTTCCAGCTATCGTGACACATGATGTTTAACCAACCAGGTGACAGCTGAGAGGTCAACCGTCCAGATGTGTACCTAATCGTGTAGAATCCATACTATCATCTCCCTAGTCTATGGATTACGTCGATATGGTACTAGTCGGCTAGTCATTATACATGCTACCGTTTAACTTGCATCCATGGGCGGATCCAGGAATTTTGAAAGGAGGGGGTTCAGGGGGTTCGAACTTCAATGTGATCAAAGTCATTTTGAAAAAAAGAAGGGGGGGGGGACACACACACACACACACACACACCCGCCAATGGCATCATGCTACAATGTGGGCTAGTACTGTACATGGACATCGCTATGTAAGTGCAAATGTCTCTCTCGACCATTACCCCGCTGGCCATACACATACAATAAGACAGGAATGATTAGGTGGCTGAACCATAAGTGAGTGAGTATGGTTTTACGCCGCTTTTAGCGATATTCCAGCAATACCACGGCGGGGGACATCAGAAATGGGCTTCACACAATGTGCCCTTGTGGGGAATCGAACACGGGTCTTCTGCGTGGATAGTGGACGCTTTTTAAAGGTCACATAAACCCTAGGGGGTATAAATACATAAATCACTAACTGGCATCGTTATAAATGAAACCCCGTCATTAAAACTACTCATTTCGACCTTTAATTGACTTAAATCGACCTTTTTGACAACAGCGCACAATTCTCACCCGCGAACGAAATTTCAACCAATCAGAGCGGCGCGCCTCTGTGACGTCATATGAGGAATAGCTTTGAGGGCCGATGCAGAATTCATCTACATTTTAGGGGTTAAATTATCTTGTTTACAGGCTTGTATAAACCTGAAATCGTGACAATTGTTGTGGAAAATGAAAGCTATATGTTCTCACAATCTACTGTCATTTAATTTTGTCTCCTGCTTTACCTAGTTTCCGAGTTACAACTTGTTTTCATAGACGATTCTGTCAAAATCGATTGGTGTCGTTAGGCCCTATTTGTATAATGACTGATCCAAATTGATCCCATTTCTGTGTTTTTTACCTCGATATTTAATCATGTCATGTAAAAATCTGTTTGTATTCTCAAAACAGTGTCGGCCCATAAGTTTTCACATGCAATACAGCAATTAATACTCCCTTGTTGTAACCCGTGTTAGGTGGTATAAACCTACATGTTATTTGTCATCATTCACTTGATGGTCAGTTAATGAATTTATAACAGGTATAATTAGTGGTAACACACTTAGATTACCTCCGACAAAGGTTCCCATTTGGCATTTCTTGTGTCTGGAGTAAATATTCAACATTATAAACATCGATCAAAGGATTAACCGATAACACGCTGATTGATTAATTACTTTTATCTTACACAGCGGAATTGTCAAAAGGTAGTGTTTATGTATGTAGATTTACTAATCTATACTGAATACACTGTCGTGTCGGTGTCTGCGTAAAAACAACGTCCTTCTTTCAAAGGATTAACCGGCAATACATTGATTGATTGCCCATTATTGGCTAACTAAATTACTGTTTTTAAAGAAAGGCGGACATTATGCAATTAGTTGCCAGGTGTGCTATCTTGGGTGACCAATGAGACTATACACCAATACCTGAAAAGATTATCACTTTTTCGTATATTAAACTGTTAAAAGACACATCATTTGGAACAGTTTTGTGGATATTGATGGATACATTCCTCGAACAAGGTAATGGCCTGATATTGTTCCTATAACTTTAATCTGTTTAAACTATAAAATGTCTAGATATTACAGTTCTGTTATAAATTCACTATAAGTATCAGCAGATCGTCTGCTTTTTATTTAGTTTCAAAATGCATACAAGTGTGATAATAAACTAATTAGGATTATAAGACCTAATATAAAGACGCACATTGACTAGTATCTACATACTGGTGAGTGGACGTTAACCATGGGAATGTAGCAAGAAATTTATCGCGCAGTATTGTGACTTCGACCCCCACCTCGCTTCCGTGGAAGAAATCGTTATGTTATAAGTTGTGTCATGCAAAATCCGTTTGGTTATGATTCCAATACATATTTAACTACGAGTAGAAAGTAGTCTTGATTTTCTAACTTGATGAAAACAAACTATAATCTCATTAATTATAACAGATTTTTTTATTTTTAAAAATGGCGGCGCCCTGTCGGGAACATCCGCCAGTCTGAGGATATATGGTATTTAGGTTTGTTTTCACCGAGTTACAAAATCAAAACTACTTTCTACTGGTAGTAAAATATGTATTTTATTGATGGCCAATAGGATTTTGCATGACATAGCGTATATCATAACAATTTCTCTCGTGGCAGCGAGGTGGAATGTCATATAATACTACTTACAATATTATTGTTACTTCGACCACAACCTCACTTCCGAGGAAGAAATCGTTATGTTACAAGTTGTGTCATAGAAAATCTTTATGGTCATCAATCATATGCATATTTTACTACAACTAGTAAGTAGTTTTGATTCTTTAACTTCCATGAAGCGATCTGAACACAAGTAAGATATCGTTTCAGGCTTCCACAACGCTCGCTTCGCACTCACAAACATAACCCATTTAGCACGAACTGCGGGATCCTGTGGAAATCTGTGCATGGGGACACAATCGCCCGACCCCTAGGAGCAATTGACGACAAAGCAACGATTCGGCATGTCGTCGTTGATGTCGAGAAATCATCAAAATGATGAGCGTGCTACACATTTTCTATACAACTAACTGAAAATCGTTCCTCATATGACGTCACTGCAGTGCTCTGGCGACAGAGTTACGTAACCTGTCTGTGGTTTCGTTGGCGGGCGAGAGGGAAGCAGGCGACTTTTTGGCCACTTTTAATCGCTCGGTATTAATTAACCACAAGTTTTTAAAGAATAAATTTGGTGTTCCGCATAAGACTAACCACAAATCTTTCATATGTAATGGTTAAATGAGTAACAAAAAAACAAAGTTTATTGGTTCTTTAACTACTAGGCTACACCACCGCCCCACTTGAATAATAAACAGTGTTGGCCAAGCCAAGCTGTTAAAGCGTTTGTTCCTCATGCCGAAGACCCAGGTTCGATGTATGAAGCCAATTGCTGGAATATTGCTGAATGTGGCGTAAAAACACTTACTTCATCAAGTAAAGGCTTCATATATAGGACCGCCTCCGTGGTGTAGTGGTTAGAGCGGAAGGTCGCGGGTTCAATCCCCGACCGTGTCATACCAAAAGACGTTAAAATATGGTACTTGTTAGTCCCCGCCTGGCGCTCGGCATTAATGGGTACAACAAGGACTGGTCGGCTCGGAGTCAGTATAATGTGTCTGAGTGGGGTATTCATGCTTCACTGCGGCGTGGTATCTCAGTGGGCTAGCACTATAAAACCAGCTTCAGTCTGGGCTAGTACAAGCAGCCGCACATACACGTACACACGCATGCACGTCGTCATATGAGCGAAATATTCTCAAGTACGACGTTAAACCCAATTTCACCTCACTCTCATATATGGGTATCATGCGGTTGTAATGCCAAAAAACAAACAGTTAAAAAACCTAAAACATGAGCAGGTACCCACTCATAATTAACTACTATGTACCCTATTGAGATTCTGGGACCGGAAACATCCCTGGCCGTCAGTTATATGGCTGATAAGCCACTAGCATTATTTTCGACCTTCAAACAAAATTTGGATCAATGGAGCAACTATTGATAAACACATCAACGTTTAGGCAACAGATGATAACAGTTTATTTTTCTGAAAACGAGCACTGTCCACATGCAGGCATGTTATAGTTGCGATACTGTCCACACTGGCGTAAAAAGACAAATTAGCCCACGCTGTTGGTAACAATGAAACTTAATCAATTCAGTTAACCCCTGCGACGTCTGATGTGATATATACATACATAACCTAAACAATTATCGGCTTAAACAGATTCCATTCGGTGTTGAAGGCAGAATATTAATGAACATTATGTAAATTATGGATCTCTGACACCAGGTGCTCTGTCGGTAGCATTAAAATAGATGGGACCCTTCATCTCGGCCACCTCGATGTGCGCGCGTATGTTTGTGTGCGAGTACGTGCGTGCGTGTGTGTGTCCAAAGGGGTTGTGAACAATCGAATTTTCATTTATAATCATTAGTTTGGGAATGCTGCTGCAATAATATACTGAATATAGAAAGTCAGATATCATGAATTATTTGATCATAGTCTTTTTCAAAAATATTGTTTGCTCATGATCGTTCGCAGCAAAAAAATATCTCCCTCCTCCAAACATTCACGATCCCCAACATTTTCATTCACTATAATGGGGATTGACAAGTCACAAAAGATGACCGATTTTTAAATGAGGAATTCTATACCAATCCACCTTTCAGTCTTTTCTCATCAGCATAGTTCTGTTTTCGTCCACACTTGAACAACACCAGCGACACTATTATTACCAACAATAAGAGCGCTGCAAAACACCCAACAAGGCCTGAAATAACCAGTTTTTGGCTGCTGGAGGGCCCAGTCGGATTCGATTTGACCATGTCTGGAGGTACGTAGTCTGGATCTGTGTAGTCTGGTACAAACCCAAAAGCAGTTGTGGCATAGTTAGAATTATCCCCAAAATTTCCAACGTCATCAATTGCCCTGATGGAGAACACAAAGGTCACATTAGTCAGAGGCGGCACGTCCATTTTGAGTTTGAACACTTCAGGGGAACCAGCAGGTTTGGGGTTTCCTAGATCTCCAAACAGAACTTCCTTTTGGGAGACTAAACTGACGGTCGCATGGTTGTTGATCATGTCGTCAGCATTTGGAGCAAAAAAGATCTGGTAACGCTGGGCTGAAATTAAATAGAAAACAGTTCGACAATATAAAAACACATCCTAAGAATGATTCACATTATAGGTTCCTCTACAAAAATTACACGAAGATGCAAAAAATGAGTAACTGAATTCAGCATATGTAATTCTGTTTAGCTGGGCTCGTCAGACCTGAAGGGTCAAGAGTGATGTCAGTAACTCTGAATGAATGTCCAGTAACAGTGTCATATATCTGTCAAAAATATTTATAATCGCATTGTGTGTCTGCCCAGTCAAGTGTAATTGCCCCATTGTGAAAAGTGCCGTGTATTGAATCTAATACATTAATTCTAATATTCATTATGACCTCAATTCTACGTAAAAAAAGCATGTTCGCAGACGATCTAATATCGGGAGCGATGACTGTGTCAACAAGTTTTAATCAAGTTGTTCTAGAATAATAATACATTAACTTATCTCCTCGCTGAAGTAGCAATACTAGTATAGCTTATACCGGAATATCTCTTTAGTCCTAACCACAAACAAGAAACGCATTTCAACATTTGTTTACAGTGAACAAATGGCACTTACATTCTCGATCACACATACCTGTATAGTAGTCGATGTCATCTCCCGGCGCCGTCCACGACAACACAACAGTGCCTTCTCGGTGTGACGTCTTCATGACCTTGAGGTCAGTGATCCTGACGGGAGCAAGGTCATCACGCTTCAGCATTGCAGCGTCGAATGGCATAAAGGATTTGGTTAGGTTGGGATGGCTGATAACAAATGCTCCTCCAGGTGTTACCCGATTTACGTGCGAGGGCATAGGGTACAAGAACACTGACCTCCGAACGATGGGTTCTGAAGAATACAAAACATCGTCTATCGCCATACTAGCAAGAACAGGGCACGATTTACGATATTCTGCTTTAGATATGTTGTTCTGTACTCATGCTAAGGCACAATATCTGATTATCTTACTGTACAAGTTTTGAAAGTGAAAAAAAACATTGTGAATATCAAATGTACACAAAAGACAAGAAAGGGTCCTCCTTCAGCTGGAGTTGTTTGTTGAATGAGGACAATTCATATGGCCTATATCTTCAGATTTACTTATGTTTCTTGTAATGGCTGATAATGCATTTTGCAAGTGAACACCATTTCCCCCCTAGCATATCTTATCTGATGCCATTCAGCATGTTATGTAGTAGTGTACTAGCCTGGGTGAATGTCATCCTCCAGGAGAAAGCCATGGCCATCTGTGTTGGAAGGATGCTGGTATGTTTTGACGGTGCCCTTTCCGCTTACTTCTATACGAACACTGTATCGACCGTTTCCGGAAAACTTGGTAAAATATCGTGAATATACTCCATCGTCTTTGGTGATATCAGCACCTGGAATGCAAGGGGGTGACATAAATATTGATATGTATTTATTCATAACGTAATTTAGTTTTCGCTATAAGGATATAGAGAAGTGATATTGTGAGCCACCGCCTACACATTCAGCATACCATGACACTCTGTGAACCATGTCACCTGACCACTAAAATCAGTATTTTGCATCATCAAAGTTTCCCGGGGATCTGTTTCAACTCGGAATCCCCACGGTGTCGCGGGTAAGGTAAACTAGACGTATTCGATTTCATACTAGTACGATTTCATAGCAGATAATCCGATTACAGTGAATAACTATATCAAATGCCTAATTTAATAAAACAAAATATAACCTCTACCTGCGCCATTGTCAAGAAGCTGCACAACGTAAGGCTTTGCGAAAGGCCTATTAACAACTGCCTGTACTCTCAGTCCAGTTACAGGATGTACAGATTTCTTCACGTCAGCGTACAAGATAACCTGTGTTGGCCAGCTGGTGTTGCTGGACATAATGGACGTGTCCACTCTGATGGGGGTCCTCTTGGGGTCGACTGGTCTGGACACCACCATGATGGAAACCTTCTGATAGTCGGAGTCTCTGCTGATAATCGAGTACTTCCACCGACCACTCTGGGAAAAGGATTAGTGGTGGTCCGATTAATTGAAATAATCGAAGATTGGTCGCAGTGACTAAACGACCAAGCAATCGATCATGTTTTCTCATAATCGAATACAAACAATTCTGGAACACCTTTTGCATTAACAATTTTTTTCACAAGGTTGGTTTTGTCTGTTACATTCCATGAGTACTACAAACTCGGTCCAAGTCATGATTGAATTTATCTTAAAGAGCCCAAGAAATTTATATTCCTAACATACTAGTAATCCTTTGAAGATGTGAAATTTGCGGAAAAAACAACCAAAGAACTACAAAACAATTCCCAATGTTTTTGTGCTAACAGGAAAATTTCATAAATGACGCTAACCAATTATTTTCGATGATTGATCGGTTGTAATGAACCCATCATCAATTATGAGATTTTAACCAATTCCCAACACTAAAAAGGATGTGAATGGATGAACGGGTGTGACGCCATCACAATTCAAATTCGACTCCTTATGTACTTTTGCTGGTACGCAATCAACAGTTGGGAAACTGATACAAGTTTACACTAGACCGAATTCAGAATTAAACAAAATTACCTAAATCGGTTCAAGCATCAGATTCACGCTTCAAAGATGTTGGTTTAGTATGGCCATTAGGTACACTTTGAAGACTTTGTTCAGGATTTGAAATGAATTGCTGTGAAGATGTGCTTTGACACGAGACCACTAGGCAACTCAATGGCGTCGACAATCAGAGGCCTGGCTTTAGGAGCAATAGCAGGGCTGTCATTACAGCACGTCCGTGATCAAACGTGGGCCAGGTAGACTGTCAGACATTGACTTAGACATTCATCGAGAAGCCCGAAACTACCAAAACCTTTATCAACATTATCCTTCCAATATTTTCATGAAACAACCAGTATTAAGCAATGACTTGGGTATTAAAAGTACAGATGACTCGATTCTTTCACTAATTGTGATTGCCTACGTTGTCTTACCTTTACTGGTCAAATCCACATGGCAGCATTACGAGGCAGTAAAATATGGATATATTCACTTGTCCATAGCCGTACGCGTTTCCCAACAGACGTTATTATTCTCACCTCCCTCCGGAGTTCATAGTTTAACCTAAATCATCCATGTAAGTTGTATCTTTGCTGGGTATCTCGAACTTAGATCCAAGATGAGAACAGTTGACTAACGAGAGCGAAGATGTTAACAGAAGCGGGAGTTGAGATTCGAGATAAATGAGTCAGCGATAACAGCTACTGATAATTTAATGATAATAAACAAGCATTATTGTCATTTAGCTTACCTCTGCAATTTCAGGAATGGCTACTTTTATAGTCTTGAATTCTTGATCACACGAGTACTCGGGATATAGTTTGTTGTATATCCTCCCAGTTGGTGACGTAATGGTGACGTCAGGTTCACTTTGTAAGTACGTCATTAAGAAATGTGTGTCTCTGCCGATGTCAACGTCAACATTAACCTCACCAGACATATTACCGCCTTTTTTCAAACCTGCGGCCTTGCTCAGCAACTGTAAATGGTTGAAACTGTATATGTACTATGTTCACTACACATCGATGTGAGGTTATTCTTAGACTGATTGAGCCAATTATCACTAGCTCCAGAACATACCTGTAGTTAAACATTTCCAAATTATTAATATTTCCTTTTATGTTCGGGTTGAGTTTAAAATACATCCCTTCAACTCAAAACGAAAATGTTACCTGGACCGCGTTGTCCCTTCTGTCATGCCTGAAGATGGTGTAGATGTCAAACAGGGCGTCGCCGAGAGAAGTGGAACCAGCCTGGTTGCTGTCATAGTAGAACAGGCCCCCTGCGGACATAACGCTCAGCTAGAACTCCCCATTATGGTTTCTCAAACATATGGACGTGTTCTTGAATAATCAGTCCAGTGAGACTAAACCGTTCATGCCTTTGGCAAAATCAAGTTCATATCACTAAAACTATTACCTGTGTCTGTTGCAGAGCTGGCGAAGTTGTCATCGGGGTTGGAGCTGAATGCCATGATACTGACAATTGCACCCGCCTGCTTGACTTCCGGTAGGACGTCCTTCAGGAAGGGGGGCACCGTCTCAACACCGTCAGTCAACACCACTATAGCAGACCCACTGGCGTTCTCGCCGTTTTCCTTCAGCATCTAACAGGGGTACAGTTCACAAAATGGACAGACAGCAAGCTAAAGGAATCTACGTATTTTGAACTTACACAACATAAGAGTAACAGTATACTTTACCAGGTATTTGTAGCTGATGAACAAAGGAGATACCTCAACGGCTGAGATTGACTTGAAATCGATTTATGGTGGTATCTGGGAAACTGTTCAACGCGACTACAGTCTATATTCTATTACAGTCACAACATATTGATGTCCCTAGCAAACGGTCCTTCCTCAACTTTGCTCTATCGTTGTAATTTACAGCAAACCAGGCAATGAACTTTGAAATTGAACCTGATGTTTTTATCATCTTCAACATATCTTTAGATGCATTGAAAGAAAACACAGTTTATTTACAACTGATTCTACCAGCCCATTTATCCACCCATCCAACCACTACATTACAATACGGAGAACGGGACTCACATACTGTACCGAATTTATGATAGTACATTGGAAATACGATATGCATATTTAAACTGAAAGAACATTCATCCCCAAGTGGATGTGTTTAGTGATTGAGACAAAATTATGCCAACTGTTTTCTGCTTGAAATAGGAAATACAAACATTATATATATAATATGTGTTAATAATACTAAAAAAGAACATTCTGAGAAATGGATTAACTATTGTAAATGACAACACAACATAGCTTACCTCAAGCGCTGTCCTGACCCCCATACCGATGCTGGTGCCCCCAAGGGCAGACCGTGGTAGGGAACGTTTCAGGTCTTGTCTTGCGGTGCTGTTCAGTATCGGCGTCATGGGGCTGATGATGTCAGCTCTGCTGCTGAAGGAGACTATGCCGACGTCAGCGTCACTGTCAACGCCGTTCATGATGAAATTGGAGGCCGTCTGCCGTAGTCGGGTAATCTTGTCCTCATTCTTTGAGAACAAAATATATAATTTGAAAAAAGTACAAACGTATACTGAGGGCAACAAATAAGGGAACACCACTTCATGGCAGTGTTCCTTATTTATTCTCAGATTTCCTTCCACAGCGCTATTTAAAGCTGGTGATGAAAACTGCACAATATTAAAGGAACGCTTGACTTTTCTTGTGTTCCTTTATTTGTTTCTCTCAGTAGATTTCATTAACAAATCTATCAATCATTTAGTATAGAAAACACATGTCCAGCTTCAGACGCCTGAAGCGCCGCAGTTGGCAGCTGTGTATCAATTATGTTGTGTACCAGTGTCTCATACCAGTAATCACAAATTTGACCTAATTATGATTCTTGGTTTATTAGCACAATTGTGTAAATTGTGTTTATGGAGCTATAATCACACATATATATATGTATGCTCACAGAGCTGTCATACTACCCTCGGATGTAACGTTACCCAGACAAAGAGACCCTATAGCGCAAATAAGACAGTTTGTTATGCAGGTCACGCTGACACGTTGTGATGATAATGAAATACTGCTCCAAGCAACGTTGAATTCACTCTGATTTTCAAACCCGTGATGTCCAATATGTCTAAACCTGTGAAGATCAGGGTCAGAATTGGTCTCCAGGAATCATTGCTTGTCGGAAGAGGCGACTAACGGGATCGGGTGGTCAGGGTGGTCGGGTGACACGTCATCGTATCCCAATTGCGTAGATCGATGCTCATGCTGTTGATCACTGTATTGTCTGGTCCAGACTGGATTGTTTACAGACCGCCGCCATATAGCTGGAATATTGCTGGGTGCGGCATAACAACCAACCAACTAACCAATCTCTTTTTCCAATACAAATCTTGGTAGAGCTTGCTACCTTGTAATGACTCATATATCAGCTTATATTTATACGACATATCAACGTCTCCTTCTTGACGTACGGCGAAACGGATATCTCTCTGTGTGAGGATGAAAATGCCTAGCAATCTCACACATATACGTTAGTAGGACGGACGAGTTTTCCTCACACAGGGTACACGCCCCGTTTGTCCAGTCTCCCAAACGTTAAGAACTACAGGCGAAGTTGAGAACTACAGTCATAGCCATTCTATATAAACAACATCATGACACTCCTTGGTGTCTTCCATATTAGACATGACATGAATACAGTAGCACGTGCTGTTGATAGCGTGTTGCAGCATCCACCTTGTTACAGTGTAAGCAATCGGCGGATAGCTATAAGCATTCACATCACGTCAAAGTGAGACTGTATATTTAGCACGTTATTAATATTAACGTAGCTTATGTAACTATTTTGTTTTAGGCCGATAGGTGTAAGCTTATCTAGGTGAGTGAGTGAATTTTTAGGTTTACGCCGCACTCAGCAATATTCCTGCCATATGACAGTGGTCTGTACATAACCGAGTCTGGACCAGACAATCCAGTGATCAACGTCATGAGCATCAATCTACACAACTGGGATACGATGACCAGTGTCAACCAAGTCACCGAGCCTGACCACCCGATCCCGTTAGTTGCCTCTTACGACAGGCAGAGGTTACTGAGGACCAATTCTAACCCGGATCTTTGGGTTAAGCTTATCTAACGCAGCCACACTTGTTTAAGACTCAATATACACATGAAGTGATTCAGATGTTGAATTAGTAAAAGCCTATTACAGAAATTCGGGTGGTCAGTCTCGGTTGCTGTTTTGGGTGCATGTCATCGTGTGCAGAGGGCGCTGATGTTGTTCATGCTGTCAATCACTGGTTCGTTTGGCTATGATGTTCCATAGGCCGTCACGATATAGTTGCAATATGGTTCAATTTCGGTTTAACAAGCATTCTCTGGCTCTTTACTAGTACGTCTTAGTCAAAATATAGTACGATAAGTTGGGCAAAAGAAAGTATACACATGAAAATTGGAATGACCCCTAATATTGCAAACATTATCGGCTGAAATGTTAACGTGATAGGCTGTAAACACAGTTAAGTTAAAGACTAAAACAACTATGATACGCCCTTGAAATACATCTCTATCGAATATACCTTTCACGTTTCTATTCACATTTAACGGGACGTTGGGTTAGCCTGGTGATTGGCCCGTGAATGGAAACTTCTCACCCAATTACATACATATTTTCCGGCAACACGGATAGTCCATATATAACAATGGATAGTATATATGTGTACATTTTACGAACTCTCGATCAAACCTAAACGACATCCATTTTGCTTCGACCGAAAGGGGCGATGGGGAAGTCTTGTGGTTAAAGCGTTCGCTTGTCACGCCAAAGACCCGGGTTCGATTCCCATATTAATAAGTACAAAGTCTGCAGTCCATTTCTGGTGTCCGCCGCCGTGATATTGCTGGAATATTGTTAAAAGCGGCGTAAAACTAAACTCACTCATTTTTAACCACCATCAAACATAGGTGTATACTTTCTTTTGCACGGTAGTGTAGTTTGAGACATTACCAGCATGCTCCCTGACGTGTCCAACACAAGCGCCACACGTCTCTTTGTGGTTGCTTTAACAATCGTAATGGTGGGCGTGGTATCTATCCCGTCTCTAGGGGAATTTTTACCCCCCTTGAAATCTTCTGTCTCCGAGATGACCGCCCACGTGCTGCGTTGACCACACATCCGGTTGTGTTTGTTGGGGGCCTCTCTGTTGTGGACCTTGGCTGTGTTACTTTGGTCATCGTCACAGAAGTCCACGATCTGCATTTATAACAGTTGGGTAGTCATCAGGGACATATCATCCTCGGAGATTAGCTGTTTGCTTGGTTACTCAAGAGTTAAATGGCATTGATCATTTGTTCGAAATCAATAATACATTGCAATAATGTTGATTTTTATATCAATGCTCGCGAACGCTCAAAAAGCGTAACCTTGGTCACCACTGTCAATGGTACAGTGTGTACTCGATTAAAATTCACAGCTACTTGGGAAGTATAAAGCCATATTTTTGTACTCAAAGGAGACTTTTCTACTTGTTTAACAGATTCACATTCAGTTGTATTCCTCAGGGGAAAACCACACGTAACATGTAAGACATATTTCGAAACCTCCTATATAGGGCTGGGACGGGTAGGAAAAAATGGAATCGAGTACCCGCATGTACTTACCCGAATCGGAATCGAGTACCCGTAAATGTAAGGAATAAAGCGCTTCTGTCCACTTTCTGAATATCCAATCACGAGTTAACAGAGATTTTTATAGAAAAACTTGAAATGATGTCAATAAGACACTGAAACTGAACATAGGCTATTTATTTTACGTCTGTCTAACCAGGGAGACTATATGTGTTGTAGATTATCCCTGGTTTAACCAGGGGGACTATATGTGTTGTAGATTATCCCTGGTTTAACCAGGGAGACTATATGTGTTGTAGATTATCCCTGGTTTAACCAGGGGGACTATATGTGTTGTAGATTATCCCTGGTTTAACCAATATAGAGAGTAACACCATTGTCGCTGTTACTGTAACTTGACTTCTCACTGCTCATGCTCAGATATATTACAGTCGTTAATAAAAACCTCCATTAATCGGACAATGCCATTGATGCAAATGTGTGTTACGTCAATAATGAAAAAGACAAGTTATTGTCTGCCCTTGCCATCACAGAGTTCTCTCCTTTTCCGGGTACTAGCTTCCTAGAAATAGGACTCGATTCCAGCTGTACCCGACCCGGATTCGAGTACCGGAGTACCCGTCCCAGCCCTACTCGTATACTCGAAGTCATTCACCCACTCTTTCAATGTTAATCGCAAGACATGGCCGCTGTGTAAGTGGTGGTACTAACATTGACTGCAAGATGGCGAATCTTTAAAAATCAGTCCGAACATTTGTGTCACGTTGTGTCATATCTTCTTTGAGAGGCATTTAGAAGTAGGGACAGTAAGGAAGGATAACAATATATGGATGAACAACCTCACAGCAATAAAGAAATTGTTCATCCATATATTGTTATCCTTCCTTGTCATATCATTGTGTCATATCGGGTAAGAGACCTCTAAGGCACATACTTATTCTTCACAAAATGATTCAAGGACATACTATGAGGTTATTACATGACAGTTTTCCCTTCGCCAGTCATATCAGCCCGAGACTACCTTATCAGCCCGAGGGCCCTCATAACCTTGTTATCATATACCACATCAAGGGACGTAACTCTAAAATAAACTAGGCTCCGTCTGTTGAAGTTTCGAGCGCTTGCGTGTATTCATTCCGTACCAGTTTAGTACGGCAAAACGGCTGATATGCATATTCAGCCCGGGTGGTCAATGTCGACATGTGTCGACAGCAAGGGCCCCGTTTCACAAAGCTCTCGTAGGCCTAAGATCTCGTAACTTTTCTCGTAGCACAATCTTACGATTTTATGGGCGTTTCACGAAACTCTCGTAGACTTACGATACCTTCGTGAAACGCCCTTAGCGTGGTATCGTAAGATATATCGTAGGTGTTACGAGATCTAAGGCCTACGAGAGCTTTGTGAAACGGGGCCCTGTATTGTATGTGCAAAATGGTCCATATTATTCATAGATATATGATAATTATATTTATTGAATGGAAGTACTTTTGTGTCAAATATTACTCTATCCTGCTTTCGTGATCTTACCCTGGCACTTAATTGATTGATGAATGCAAACTCACATATACATGTGAGTGATACGTCCCTTGCGCGGAGTGATACTCAGGTCACGGTAACCTCAATGCAGAAGCTTCAATAATGTAATTTACAGTTAGATTAAAACAGCCCGTGTCATACTAGTTTATATTGACCTCATGCATTGAACGCGAAGTGAAGAAGGTGAAGAAAACATATATTTTGTATGAGCTTATACAATTGACGTTCATACTTTACAACTCTTAACACGTTTTGCTTTCTTTCCACATCATAATGTGGAAATAATAATAATAAACAGCCCGTGATTCAAGATAACTACAAACTCTTACCGAACGGATGAACACTCTATCCATGATTGAGGACACACTTTTAGTTCTGTGATAATCCGGTCTGTAAGCGCAGTCATCGGGGAATCGCCCAGTGTGAGGGTCAAGGTCGCGACAGAAGAAAAGTGTGCCATTGGGATATCGTATATATATCTGACCGTAGATCTCGATGTTGCAACGCACCGCCTCCATCTGACCAGTCGACGGGGAGAAATAGAACTTCTGCTCTCCTAGCTGTGGATACTCGTCAAACACACCCCACCGGAAGTGCGCCCATTCGTGAGTGAGAACCTTTTCTGTAACCATGGAAATGAAATGGTGGATGGTAATGTGAAGAAAAAAAACCCTAATGAAATACAAAAGTCTGTGGAAATGATGGGTATTGAACTTTAATCCAATCGAGTGTTCAAGAGTGACTGGGGCGGTGGGGTAGCCTAATGGTTAAAGCGTTGGCTCGTCACGCCGAAGACCCGGGTTCGAATCCCCACATGGGTACAATGTGTGAAGCCCATTTCTGGTGTCCCCGCCGTGATGTTGCTGGAATATTGCTAAAAACGGCGTAAAACCAAACTCAGTCAGTCAGTCAAGAGTGACTTCCTGCATAAATGGCTGGGTCGCCATGACGTTAAGTGTTGACGCTCGACCCATCCAGAATTCGATTCGCAACTTGGGTGCTTTGTATAAAAATATTCTTGTTGTCCCCGACCTAATAGTGCACGAGTAATGCCATAAAACATATAGACATCGGCAGAGAATTATTAATCCTCTATGTGCTCTTAAATCACGAAATACGTATTTGGTTATAGGTTTGTTAACCCCAGTAAAACGAGAGGATTCATATAGCAAAAGGCATATTTCTTCATGTTATATATACCTATATAACCGGTATTAATGGCTTGTTTTTCCCGGGTAAAATGTTCAAAATCGATATTTGTTGTTTGATATTGCTGGAATAGTGTTGAAAGCAGCGAAAGAGTAGTGGTTAATGCTTTCACTCGTCATACCTAAGACCCGGGATCTATTTCCCACATAAGTAGAACGAGTGAAGCCCATTTCAGTTGTCCCCCCACCGTGATAGTGCGGGAATATTGCTAGAAGCGGCGTAAAATAGTACTCACTCACCTCTTGGTCCATATTGTCTGATTGCTGACGAGCTCGTCATGAATGACTCCGTTAAGTATACCCTGATGCCGGCCCTGCCACACCCACTGTACGTCCGGCTGTAGGGGTCGCTGCCGTACCGACTGTTGGCCTTCTCGACAACAACGTCGGCGTTTGTGTACACTTCGGATGTGGCGTCGCTGTAGCTTCCCGTCCATGTCGACGGCACAAGGATGGTAACCTCTTTGAAGTACGCGCGTTTTCGTGTTGCCGTGTACATGAAGGCTGATGACTTCGTTATCATGTCCTACCAAAATAATAAAACGTCAATGGCATGTAGGTAAGAAATATATCAGTACATCACTATATGACAGAAACCAAACGTGAATTATTGATGTGACTGTGTTGAAGCACTGGGGTGATCAAAGTCAGTGCATGACTTACTGGTGGGGTGAGTGAGTTTGGCATGACACCGCTTTGAATAGTATTTCACTGCGTGTCCCTTGGTTGGGGAGAATGTTACAAATCTCTGCTGACACCCACTAGTGTTGGCAAGCAAAGACAAATACTTACAGCAGTGCTGACGGCATTGATTAAGTGCTGTTGGTGACAGTAATGATGAAGTGCTGTTGGTGACAGTATTGCTGAAGTGCTAGTGAAGACAGTATTGCTGAAATGATGGTGGTGACATTATTGATGAAGTGCTGGTGGTGACATTATTGATGAAGTGCTGGTGCTGACAGTATTGCTGAAGTTCTGTGGTGACAGTATTAAAGAAGTGCTAATGGTGCTAGTATTGCTGAAGTGCTAGTGAAGACAGTTTGCTGAAGTGCTAGTGCTGACAGTATTGATGAAGTGATGGTAGTGACAGTATGGATGAAGTCCTGGTACTGACAGTATTGCTGAATTGCTGGTAGTGACAGTATTGATAAAGTGCTGGTGGTTACAGTATTGCTGAAGTGCTGATACTGACAGTATTGCTGAATAGCTATAGCTTACAGTATTGCTGAAGCGCTGGTGGTGGCAGCATTGCTGAAGTGCTAGTGAAGACAGTATTGCTGAGGTGCTGACAGTATTGCTGAAGTTCTGTGGTGACAGTATTAAAGAAGTGCTAATGGTGCCAGCATTGCTGAAGTGCAATTGAAGACAGTATTGCTGAAGTGCTAGTGCTGACTGTATGGATGAAGTGCTAGTGCTGACAGTATTGCTGAAGTGCTGGTAGTGACAGTAGTGATGAAGTGCTGGTGGTGACAGTATTGATGAAGTGCTTGTGGTGACAGTATTGCTTAAGTGATAGTGAAGACAGTACTGCGTAAGTGCTGGTGCGGACAGTATTGCTGAAATGTTAGTGGCGAGCAACCAAAGCCCACAGAAACAAACCGACAGTGCTTCAGCCTAGCATTTATCCTTGACTCTCTATTAAGAATTGTTTTAAATTGTTTTTAAATTGTAATATAGATCTGACATCGCATAGGTCATCCGTAACATATCTTCTTACGTCTGAAGTTCGCCAACATGCTGATTCCATATCAAGAAGTACTTTTCATTTGTGTGTTTGAACATTGATAGTCTCCAGAAGACTGTCGATCGGAATAATGATTGATTTTTAAATCAGTGCAGCAAATGATCCAAATGATTACCGTGTGTTAAAGCAGTAAGATGACGACAAGCTAAATAGGCTTGCTGATTCTGAACTTGGAATTCACTTGTCATTCTGTACATTCCTTTAATACAAATAGGGCGGACGCCACAGTAGACCATTATGCAAAACAACAGATATATTGTATATATGCAAGAACATGTTTAAGAGAAAAAAAACCCAATTTACTGATTCCGGTAGTAGATTCTTTTCCGTAACCAACAGATTTTCATGACTTCTCCATTACATAACTCTGGTATCTGTGTCCAGAAATGTTTTTGAGGAAATCGAATGTATTCGACGGTGGATGACATATTCATACTGCATTCAAAAACAGCTAAGTATATTCACACAAAGGTTGGGACATTCTACCTTACGCGTATTGACTTTACTGATGTGTTTACTGAATTTAACTGATGTGCTGTGAGAGTTTCAATACCAAAAGGCGAGGGTGAGAAAGGCGAGGAGAATGTTACGTGGTATTTATGAAAATGGTAGTCACTGTAACCTGGATTTTCTGTCTGACAGATTTGTAATATTTGTGTTCGTCAAGGATGCATTTGAAATCCATGTCTTTTCTCTTTCTTTATAACAAACATATTGTTCGGATAAAAGATGCAGGAACATTGAGTATATGGTCAACCATTAAGTTATTTCTTCGTCCCTTGGCAGATGATATTTTAATAGGCAATGATGCAAAATCAGTTGAACTTTAACATCGGAACTAACGGTTAATCCCAATCCAACTAAAATTTCCCGGTTAACTGTATAAAAATCCGGGGAAAAAGGAATCAAGGAATGAATATGTATATACCAAATAGAACATTGATAAGTAATGGCTTAAATACATATCTTATAATCCCGTTCAGTTAAAGATTAAATTGAGATTTTTCTCAACATATCAGTTGATCCGCAACACCAGCCAGGAGAGTTCTTGTCGGTTTTGAAGACGGTCGACCGTGTTTCTTACAAAGTGACGTTTTTATTATTTTTTTCGGATGCAAAAATACACCCTATTCTCAAATATGGATTAGAGGTGCAGAGATTAAATGAGTATCATGCTGGTTAACAAGTTCATAAGTTCGCAGGTAAACAGTGCTCTGGAGTTAAGTCGTGAAACTCAAATAGTATTGTATACGGATAATTTATACCGTAATGACTTTCACACAGGGTATCTTTACTTAACACAAACTATGAAAGATATGCGTTGTCACTTTTATGTTTATCGCTATCAGATAAACGTAACTTTATCTATAACGACAGCTTCATGTCTAAACAGACAAATAGTTGTCGGATGACACATTAGCTCAATTCAGATGTAACTAACATGATTATTCAAGAGAACCTAGACAATAATTAGAGAACCATATGCTGTACCATCCCAATATGTTTAAGTTTTAAGATTTAATACATGCTAACAAAACGCGTTCACTTTTGAGACCGAGCAAGTTCGTTAAACATTGTTGTAAAGGGACTATACTGAGCCACAGTCACTCATAACCACTTGTCACCGGTGATTATTGTTCATGTTCCGTATTCTGAATAAGCAATGCGATACAATGACTGAAACAGACCATAGTTATTCTTTGTAGTGAGTGAGTTTGGTTTTACGCAATATTCCAGCAATATCACGACGGGGGATAAATGGGTTTCACACATTGTACCCATGTAGGGGAATCAAACCCGGGTCTTTGGCGTGACGAGCCAACTGTTTAACCACTAGGCTACCCCACCTCTACCTTAAGACAGGATGAAAACTGTAAGGAGCATGGTAACCTTAAAATACTGACTTATGACCTTCGCATCAATACATTAAATTACTAGCTCAGGTATAATATATCCATGGAACACATCCTTGTCTAATGCAACTGTATATGAAAAATATACGAAACAGTTCGGTAAACAACACTGAACTAATCGGAAGGGTAATACTATCCATGTTAGGTCATAAAACAGTGACATTATTCATGACATCACCTTGATAGCGTCCAGCAGCTGTTGACTCTCTGTGACGTCTTGGTGTATAGCAAACAAAACCTTGGTATATCCATTGTTCTCCAGCTTTATAGCTGTAGGGCGGGTTATAGCTTCAGTCTGCTTGGCGAATAGGTACACCAGCAGCAGGAATATCGATAGTACTTGTCCACGCAGTTCCATCACAATGTAACCACTTTTTCACATTATGTCGCAGAGGAATGTTTGCCTTTGGTCCTTTGGTTTTTTTCTGTGATGGAGAGCTTGCGAAGACAACTGGTGTATTGTATATTTACGTTGTCCACGAGAGTGGTTTTATCAGTGACGATACGATCAAAGTTCTACTGATGACGGTGTTGGTTGGATATACTACACGGACAGGATTAAATGTCATATCATATGATAACACTTATCGTGATACAGCTATATGTACTTCGCTACGGAATACACCCCAACACATACAATCACATGTGCTGAAGATGGCAGGCCATGCACGCTCAGGGCATCACAAAATCACTGTTTAGGGTTGATGACTTTCTCAAACCTTGGCAGGAGAATCATTTCGAAGGAGGAATTCAATTAAGAAAGACACTATGTGATTGGGATTTTAGAAGCCTTTCATCAAAGATCTAATAATACGTGATATAGGCCAAGCACGGTCGGATCACATTAGTCACAAATGTTGATATTCAACTGTTAAGTGCTATTTGGTCATCCATTCATCCGGTTCAAGAAAGAAATGCAAAGTTAACAGACGGACGAACAGGTATAAAGCATACAATAATAAAGCAAACGACTCTATGGGTTACAGCTTCTTGTTTATTTCATAGAGTGACGTATGGGTAAGATTACAGAATACCGGATACCTTCCGAGTTTACTTTTGGTTAGGGTTAGGGTTTGGGTAAGGTTTAGGGTTAGGTTTAGGTTTTGGGTTAGGGTTAACGTGTGGGTTTTGTGACGTAACACTAAACAATATTGCTGGTAGGTATCCGGTATTCTGTAGGTGTACCGACGTTTGGTGTAGACCTTACACCGTTTTCAAGCAAAGTGTTGTCCATAAAGTCATATGCATTATTATTGACTAACCACTTCTAAAATGCCCATCAAACAATTACATCAATGACAACGCGCAATGCAGCAGGTTTACTTGCACGATCAAAGAGTGTTGTATTATGTAGTGGATGCCAGGGAATGGACAATGGTGATTGCTTTTCATACCCACAAACGAACGAACGAACGCACAAACAAACACACAATAAAACAATAATAACCAAACCTTATAATTCACACAGTTACGTTTGGTTTTCTCATTAAGCTGTATATGCAAAGAAAAAATTACTACAGATCACAGTTAAGGCAATGAGCGGATAAATAAAAGTTCAAACATGTTGAATATACAATTTTCGCAATATTCAAAGGTGTGTTTCTCGAGGCAACCTGAAGTTAGCAGCGAATAACGAATAACGTGCCAGCAGCAGGTTCGTTATTCACTATATGTCCATCAGATCTATCTAATATAAGATAGTCTATATCCCAGCTACTGTTTAGTTATTCAGCACCAACATTCATTCAACAACAACGACACTAACAAGCAGCGGGTTCGTTATTCAGACTCGGACTAATGTTGAATAGCGAATAACTTGCTAGCAGCGGGTTCGTTATTCGGTTTTGAATAACGAAACACGGACCTGCTGGAATTACGGTATGTTATATTTGTAATACACTGGCCCAAAAAAGAAACGCATAGCTGAATTCTGATCTTCAAAGTAGATTGTTCGAAAAATATGGCATGGAATGACTGTCAATGTTAATATTAAGTGTGAATATAGCCCATACAATTATCCAACACACGCAAACACAACCTTTGGTGATTATTCGCCAAAACACAGCACCTTGAAAAAATCCCCGTATAATCTGCATGTAGAAAAATCTGAAAGCATGATGCGCGTGCAAATACGGGATCTGAATCTTGATACTGATGGGTATAAAAAGCCAGCAGTCCTGTTGCGATTCATTCTCCGAAATTCTGTATATGCGACCCTCAAGATGCCACGACTAAACGAAGAAAGCAGAAACAGAGCCATTGGACACTTGGAAGCTGGAGAAAACAAGTCATCAGTTGCGATTTCCCGTCTCTGGCAGCGCTACACGCAGCACAACTCGACCAGAGATCGTCCTAGGAGTGGGAGACCACGGGTGACAACTCCAGCGCAAGACCGCTTCATCCGGGTGTTTCATCTGCGAAATCGGACCGTCACTGCAGCGTACACCGCCGACAATGTTCCTGGGCTGTGTCGAGTCTCTTCACAAACCATCAGGAATCGCCTAAGAGAGCATGGAATCCGACCGATGCGACCACATACAGGACCTGTTCTGCGACACCACCATCGTCGTGCACGTCTTCAATGGAGCTGGAACGTTCGGCCATGGACCCTCTGGAACTGGTGGAGGATCTGGTTCAGCGACGAGTCGCGGTTTATGCTGTATCGACATGATGGCAGGATGCGGATTTACAGACGTCGAAATGAAAGATATGCTCGACAGTGTGTTCGTGAGGTCGACAGACACGGCGGCGTAGGTGTAATGATGTGGGCAAACATATCTGTGAATGACAGAACAGAGCTGGTGCATGTCCAAGGGAATTTGAATGCTGTGCGCTATCGTGATGAAATCCTGGTACGTCATGTTATTCCCGTAATTGACGCTAGAAGAGAAATTTTCCAGCATGACAACGCAAGATCGCATACAGCACGCATTACAACAGATTTCCTTGCCATCAACAACATTACAGTTCTTCCATGGCCTTCAAAATCTCCGGATCTTAACCCAATTGAACATTTGTGGGACCACTTGGATCAACGTGTACGACGCCGACAGCCGCAACCACAGACACGTCAACAGCTTGTCGATGCGTTGCAGGATGAGTGGAGAAGAATCCCACAACGGCGGATCTGACGTCTTATACAGTCTATGCCCAGGCGTTGCAGAGCAGTGATTGAGGCTCGTGGTGGTCACACCAGATACTGACTTTGTGACCGTGCCATCAAAAACAGTAACTCTCAATACCACTGTGAATGACTGTATGTCTTTGGATACACATGTCCCACATGTGTGAATATTTATTGCTCTATTATCATTACTTTTTGTGTAATTTAAGTTATTAAAGCATCACTGATAACACTGGATTTTCACCTATGCGTTTCCTTTTTGGGCCAGTGTATATAGTATGACCAGAAATTATTGAGAATTTTAGGAATATATTTAATTGGATTTCTAGTATAAACAACCTTGACCAGCTATCAAGTGCATGGTTTCATTCAAGAGAGAACAACTCCGTTAATCCATTTTCATTAGTTTGTGAAGAGTTATCCCCCTTTGTTAACTTGCTAGCAGACGACATTTTCAGAGATGCTCAGTATGGATGATTTAGAGATGAGCAAGTTGATTTTAGAGTATTATAAACAAGGACATCAGATCAGCTAAAGTGATTTCAAGTAGAACAGGCATCCCTTTGTCCACTGTTTATCGTGTTTTGAAAAATATTGCAAATGGATATACCATTGAGCACCAGGGAGGCGCAGGTAAGCCCAGAATATTGACTGTCGGTGACAGGAGGCGGCTTGGTATTCATGTTTCTAAAAACAAACGAAGGAGTTTAGAAAACTTAAGGCTGGATATGATTGATAGAGGAACTGTGGCTGTCTGTAAGGAGACAATTAGAACTGAGCTGCATGCAATGGGTTGGCAGAAAAGTCGATGAATTCCATCACCGATCATGAAACCTGAACAAAAGGAGCGAAGGTAGAACTGGTGCATACAGCATAGAAATTTTAACTGGGACAATGTGATTTTCTCAGATGAAAGATCTGTGTGGCTGTTTCCTAATACACTGAAATTCTGGACCAAACAAACTGAAAAACCTTTGTATCAGCGCCCAAAGCATAATACAGTCCGAAATTTAACGTGTGGGGTGGCATATCTGTGTCAGGGGCAACGCCCCTCTGTGTATTTGAAGGGCATATGAACAGTGAGCGGTACACATATATTCTCGAGGGACATTTACTTCCATCTGCTCACGTGTTCTATGGAAATATTTGGATTGTCCAGCATGACAACGACCAAAAACATCGTTCAAAGCATTCACAGACCTGGTTTCGGACCCAAAATAGGACATTATTAGATTGGCTAAGCTATAGCCCTGACCTAAATCCAATAGAAAATGTTTGGGGACTTATGAAGGAAAGTGTCAATAAGAAAAATCTGACAAATATTGCTGAAATGAAAGAAGAGGCGGTCCGATATTGGGACAGCATGGACCACGATTTTCTAACTTCTTTGATCAGTAGTATGCCCCGCCGCATTGAAGCCTGCATTGCTGCCCATGGTGACTTGTCAAAATACTAACTGTTCACCTGTTATGTTCACAAATATTCACATTTACTACGTGAGTAATGCGTGAAAAAATATAAAAAAATTACAATCTTTAAATTCTCAATAATTTCTGGTTGTACTGTGTATTTGATAGACATGTGATGGGCATAAACTGAATAACGAAACCGGTGCTGGTTAGCTTTTCGTTATTCATGAGTGCTGAATAACTGAACAGCTCTTGCACAAGTAGTACACCTGTAAAATGAACCTGCTGTATTTCATTACATGGGTATTGATCAGTGTATATGACAACACCACTGTAGATGTTTCATGTATAGCCTTTGAATAACGAACCCGCTGTAACAGTTAGCACGTTATTCGTTTTTCGAAAACGAATAACGAATAACGAACCTGCTGCTAGCACGTTATTCGTTATTTGAAAAACGAATAACGAATAACAAACCCACTGCTAACTTCAGGCCGCTGTTTCTCGATTGAGTCTCAATGTTCGACTGAATGCCTGGTCCAGATTCGATTATTTACAGAACGCCGCCATATGGTTGGAATATTGCTGAGTGCAGCGTTAAACAATAAGGGACCGTTCATAATTTATGGCCAGGGGCGGTGATGATGAACCAACCAGTCAAAAAAATGAATGTTCGAGATCGTCGTATGACTAGTAGCACCAACCACATTCGGTCCATTCGTCACCGCTCGCCCCTTTCCGTAACCACACGAATAGTAGGTCATGTTTACAAACAAACTGCGCAGTATATAATGTGTCGTTGCGTCAGGGATTTAAGTTATTCTGGATTGTGTTTCTGCTTGTATGTGTGCGCGGGCCATGGCAGTGATTCGTGCAGCCCCAGTGAATACTTTGACAGCAGTACACAGAGTTGTCAACCTTGCTCCGAACCGTGCACACGCGGAGGCGACTGTCTCGGCTGTAGGCCACAAGGTTAGCAGACACCATACCATCACTGTATAAATATAGCCTACATTCATGACCCGACGAAGTCTATCTCCCAGAGCCTAGATTTTAGAAACGATTAATCTTAACAACTACGATATCAGCTCAAAAATGACATCGGGAACATCTTTCTCTGCTTCATTAGCTGTTGGGTGTCTAATTACACGCAGCTAACCTGCAACTGACAGTACACTCTCCTACCCAGAGCTCCATGCGTCAAGCCAGCATAGTATCTCTGCCACAGGCCAGAAAAATGTGACGATTCGTCACATCTTGCAATGTCCATTCAATATAATGTACAGATTTCTTTCACTCTCTTATTTTTGACGAGTCTACACACCTAACTAAACATCTTTAATAGAATGGTTTAGTTTCACTATTTCGATTTGCGTAGCGATCCTTTGTTTACGTAGGTTGTACGGCTCCACGTGCTGTCATCGAAGCCGACGGAGAGCAAACGATGCAGCCAGTTTGATATCTAAATATGTACTGTCATAGACCTAACTGTCGTAGTTGTGGAAGAATATATATGTAACAATGTAAAACATTATGAAGAGAGCACCGAAAAGCTTTCGTGAGTCCAGTCTCTTCTTATTATGAATATGCGCGTTTGATTACAAACAAGAGAAAAGTCGGGTCACGTGATATGCAAATTAGCCTGTGGCAGTGATGTTATGTAAGTCATCGCTGTGCCGGAGCGTGCTGACAGTACTGATGGCCATCATAATCAATAATTAGCTGTTGTTATTTAATTAATATTGACAAGACGGTTTTAGTTTTAGACATATAACTTGTGAAAAACCACTAACTTAATTGCCACTAAAGTGCCTTCGATATTGTCCTTTACTGAGGTTAACCTAACTCCCAATCTTTAACATTGCACTTATAGGTTACCTTAGAGACTTATGATCACCTTAGTGTTTTGTGAAAGGAGGTCCTGAACTTGTCGCCGATCGTACAAAGCAATGACACAAACCGCAACTCGTCATGGGAATTTCCCGCCACTGACAATATAGTCTACCCAGGGTACCAATGGGTTTATGGTGTAGTGGCTTGCTTATCGTCGTTTTTGGTTGCCACCGGTGAGTGACTAGCGTATCACCGTTTGGGGCTGCCAAAGTGTACCCTCGAAGCTCAGCTGGATACACCATATAGGCGTCCCACTTGGAGCTGCCACCGTTTACCCGCGAGTGCCGCCTATGTTCGTGAACACTCCGGTGACCATTCCTCGATAATCTCCAGGGTATACGTTCCGATAAATCTCCAATATACCCTGGATGCATCTACGGCCCATGATTTTAATTACCTCCCTTTGCTGGCTCCGCATTCTCATAGTAGCCAATCAGATACACAGGCCCTCGTGTCTTTGCGAAGATTAAAGATTTAAAAAAAAATATTGTTTTGAGATGACCCCTGACTCGAAATGCTAGACAGCACAATACATTATGTCATAATGTATTGTACTGTGAAGCATTTCGAGTCGGGGGTCATCTCAAATGTTTTATGCGTGTTTAACATCTTTAATCCTCGCAAAGACACGAGGACCTGTGATACAACCGAGCTTGCCAGTGTCAACAAAGAAAGCCGCGAAAGTTTGTTCGCAGTGCGACTCAGATTTGGAGGGAAAACATACAGACAAATTGACAGGTCTGAAACCTTCAAAAATATATGCAAGAACTCCTTCTACCTCTTTCAGAGTACCTCTGCAACGATATATTATTGTGTTGCCAAGTTTAATCGGTTAGATAATTTAAAAAGCGAAAGTGAGTTGTGAGTTGTACGTTCAACTTCCAGCGTACACACCTGGCCCCGATTTCTCGAAACAAACTTAAGTCTGAGTTGACAGTTTGAGTTTGGTAGGGAGGTGACTTAAGTTTTTTTGTTGATCACAAAATGGCGCTGATAAATAGACGTAGACGCCGTAGAGCGAAACGTAAATCCACTTTGAGTAGATCATTAGTTGACAGACAGAACCCTCTCGAGGTTATGTCACAAGATGAGCTCTTTCTGCGGTTCCGTTTCCGTGCTGAGAGTATTTTATTTATTGTTTCACTTGTTTGCGGGAAACTCAAACGGTGCTCAAACCGAAGCAACCCACTACCTGTCTTAACGCAAATTCTAGTCACTCTGCGTTTCTTGGCCACTGGGTCTTTTTATTCATTAATCGCCGATACGTATGCGACCATCTCCACCTCATCTGTGTTTCGGTCAGTCAGGGATGTATGCTCTTGTCTCATTGAACATCTCCGGCATTTCGTACGTATGCCAAGCGGACAAGATGCCGACATGACCAAGAAACAGTTCTTTCAAATTGCAGGTGAGTGTATTTGATTGCTTTTACCTTCCTTTCGTAGCAAAGCTCATTCGAGGTCAAATAAAGGGGGGCTACTCTCAATCTTGTCAATTCTAGTTCTAATGAACCGAGATGTAATCATGCATAAATGAAGAGACTCGTATGAAAAATCCCCGTAAGACCCACTGACATAACGATATTGCAAATGGGGAAAAAATTAAACTTTAGAGACATATCCCATACGATATGATAAAAATATATTTTTTATAAACTTTAAAAGAACCAGAAATATTCCTTGATGTACTTTTTAAAAAAACACACACCCAAAACTTAATGATACAATAATGTCTATATAATAATTGTATAATATATGAATCTACCAAAAAAATGTGAATTATGGAAAATGTACTTTTCAGGATTCCCCAATGTTCTGGGATGTGTGGATGGAACATTCATCCGTTTAATGGCACCATCGGTGAATGAAGCAGACTATTTGAACAGGAAAGGCTTTCATTCACACAATGTTCAGGTAATATGTTTATGTTTACTAATCACCACTTTCTCACGTACAATGCATGAAATTACTTTCAGCATTAAAAAAAACATATTTCATTACCTACGCTGTTACCACCAAAATGTAGATTATCACCATATCAATTCTTCTTAAGTCACATTTGAATTTTGCCCTATTCCTCACCACATGGGTACAATGTGTGAAGCCCAATTCTGTTGTCCCCTGCCATGATATTGCTGGAATATTGCTAAAAAGCGCTGGCATAAAACTAAACTCCGTCACTTTTATGCTCAAATGTAAATCCAAAACTGTCAAGACCAATGACCTATTGATTTCAAATAATAATTGTTATATTACGCTGACATAGTATTTCAATCACTTTTCAGATGATATGTGATGCGAGATACAAATTCATCAACTGTGTTGCAAAGTGGCCAGGGAGTGTCCATGACAGTCGCATCTTCAGAGACAGCAGAATCAGCATTGCGTTTGAAAATGGTATAACTTCATAGAGCAACTGTAATAACATAACTTCCACTGTATAAACAAACAAAATACCAAATGACACTGTTTGAAGAATACAGTTTATTTAAAAACTCTTGAAGAGTTTTTTTCAAACAAAATATTAATTGTGGTTTTATATATGAACATAGCTCTTTACTGAAGATGAGGTACAATATTAGGTATATCATATGAAGTAGTAAGGTGTATGACTTGGGATGCCAGGACACATTGATACATCGATGCATCATGACATGGGTATCAGGTTACATATCGATTCATGAAACTTATGTATCATGTAAGACATCGTTTCCATTTACTTACTATATTTAACAAAAAGAACACCTGTTAGACTCTTGGTATGTTTTATATGATAAAATGGTAGAAGCTTAGTTATGTTTCCTAATAGTGTTGGGAATTGGTTAGAATCTCTTAACTGATGATTGGTTCATTACAACCAATCAATCATCGAAAATATTTGGTTAGCGTCATTATTCAAATTTTCCTGGATATGTTTGTTAATGCACAAAAAATAGGGTAGAAAACGTGTAGTTCTTATACATTTTTTAACTAATTGCACATATGTGCATTTATATGTAGCTCCAAACTCCACGTAAGGTATGCTCATAACGCTGGCAATGAATAGCACAGCACACCTCTACCCCAGATAAGTGCATTCAAAAATACTGTTTCACTTTCCTCATGAATGTATTTTCAGATTTTGATGTAATTCCTTGTGTTTCGGAGGAAGAACCAAGTGTGTCCATGGACTTCACTGATACTAATGAGCATGGTTTGTCCACACTTATATACCATTCTTATACTTTATCCATTAAAATATACTGTCAAATGTGGGACACATTTTTATAGTACCATTACATGTTAATGTACTGAAAGATAATTGTCTCTTTAACCATGACATACTGACCAATCAGACATTGCAATAATAAGAAAATTGGACTATTCATCTCCCAATAACTACTGTATTATCTGACAAACAGATGACTATTTACATAAAAAAAAATTATATTTGACTTATTGTCTCATTTCTAAATTTATATTGTGATTTATATGATTATAATCTGGCATAACTGATATGCTATTCTATAGCAATTCTTTACAATAATAACTGTTGACAATTATTTATATTACAGTTCTTCAAAGTGCAATAAATTTCCTTGTCATGGAGGACGGAATACTGCAGATCCCAACTATCACTGCTGGAACTCCAAAATCAACCACTGTTACCACTACTACTACTGCTACTCCTACTGCAACTGCAACTGCAACTGCATCTACAGCTACAACTGCAACATCAAATGCCACTTACAATTCCAATGTTCCTCCAAAAAAGAAGCTAAAGCTGCAACCAGGAAATACTAACCTTACAGGCAGAGGAATCCAAATTTAAATGTGAAATTGTTAAATTAAAAGAAGAAGCAGAATTTTTCAAGGCAAAGGTAGCATTGATTAAATTAGAACAGGAAAAGCTGAAATTAGAAATGGAAATACTAAGAAAACAGAACCGTATTAGTGAAGAATAATTGTTATGGGTGCCAAAAATGAAACATACAACTTTATGGATGAAATTTTCTCTTTACTGCATAGAATGATGTTTTAATGTAGTCATCTTGCTAAAAATGACTAATATTCAGACACGTAATTGTTAATCAAGGGAGATAATCTGTCTTAAAGGTCACATGCAACCTAAAAATCAAACATAATTAAAACACAATTATCACTTATTCGTGACATATAATATACATTGCTGGTTATGAAAAAACATATAAACAAAATTATAAGCGTAGAATCGCAAATCAAAAGTGCAATATTGTGTACTTCGGTTTACTTCCCAAGAAACGAAGCAGCCGGGATAGCGAACCCAGTCAGAGCGGGTGGGTGTGCACTCAAATGTAACGGCTGGTTCATTTGCATATGCCCTCACGGCTTATTGTGTGTGTATATGTAGAGATGTTGGGTTTTGTAAATACATGCTCATTTTTTGTGTATAACATTTTGCAATCAACAGACATCATAACATGTCATGTGTTCAACTATCACACCTGCCTGTCTGTGTAATTACATAATGTGACAGAGACCGAACTCGGGCCATAAATCAATGCATTATGTTTATGGTGTATAGCCTGATTGGTGTTAAGTTCAAATTGCATGTGGTCAGTGATAGCAGCTGTGTATTGAATATTGTCATTAGCAGACAGGCAGGCAGACACACAGATGTCAATAAAACAAGACATTGAGTTTTGTCTGTGACAACGACATATCTATATCACAGTTAGAAATTCTGTCAACGCTAAATAATGACATTGCTTTTAAGTATCGAACTGAGAAAGTGACTCGGTAAGAAGAACGTGTGGTGAAATTATATAAACAGTTTATTTACTGTCATAACATATAAAAAGCTCGCGCCTGTGAGATATCAACAAAACATTAGAAAAATAGCTCACACCAAAGCCTTCACCGAGTATTCACCGGACAACCCGCTTCCCAGTTGCGCGAACCTATTTCACTGCGCACGTGCTATGAGCGCAGCCCAGCTGTTGAAACCCGTTTTCCCCAGAAAAGTCTGGGGAAAATTAGTGAAACGTTTGAACTCCGATTTCGCGCGTTTTTTTTCATCGCGTTATTTTTCAACTTTATAAGTTGAATTTGCATTTTTGACGATTTGTTTCGGTAAGTCCATACCGAAAGGTATCAAAATCTGCAAAGTTGTGTTTTACGTTGCATGTGACCTTTAAGTTTTTTTCTGATAATGTACATTTCTATTCATTACTTGACCAAATAAGTTAAACACAGAATGTTCTCATGAGATATATTGTTTAAGCTGTAATGGAATATCTAACTAAAACACTGCTGACACAAGTGTTTTCGAACATTGTTACCAGTCCAGTCATCAGCTATATGGACACTGACATTTTCATTTGTCTCAATATCAACCTGTTCAACATCTATTATATCTTTTCTGTCAATGCCAATATTATGTAGAATTACGCAAGCAGTTACTATTTTGCAGGCATTTTGAGGTGTTGTCCTTAATCCACTATGTAAACAAGAAAATCTCCTTTTCAAAATTCCAAAACTCTGCTCAATCAAAACTCTGGTTCTACTGTGACTTCTGTTATATTTCTCTTCAGAATGGGATGATGTGGTTAGGAAAGGTGTTATCAAGTAGGACTTGCATGGATATCCTGAGTCTCCCAAAAGTAATCCCTTGTAGGTGCCTATAACATATAACAAATCACAATCTGTGTGGTTGGTTATGTTGACATTCCTATGTAAATTTGCAAACATGAAACATATGAAAATAAGAAAAGAAATCCTATGGCTATTAATATTTCCTTCTGAAGTAAGAGAGAGCAACTGAGTTAAAATCTTTAACATTGTAGTTAAACTGTGGCCAGCTTAGCCTATCAGTGTACAAATTGAAATGGCCGGGGGCTGGAGCAAAGAGTGTTGTGAGCATGCAGTGTTATTATTACTGTAGGTAAGACTGAGAGTAAAGCTTAGTATTTAGAGCTGGAAGAATAAAATTAAGTAAAAAATAGTGGTGGTCCGATTAATTGAAATAATCGAATATTGGTCGCAATGACTAAACGACCAAGCAATCGATGTTTTCTCATAATCAAACACTAACAATTTTGGAACATTTGTTTGCATTAACAATATTTTTTACAAGGTTGGTTTTGTCTGTTACATTTCATAAGCACTTCCAGCTCGTTCCAAGTCATGACTGAATTTATTTTAAAAACTCAAGAAAATTTATGTTCCTAACATACAAGTCATCCTTTTAAGATGTGACATTTGCAAATGCATTTTGTGCAATTAGTTAAAAAATGTATAAGAACTAAACGTTTTCTACCCTATTTTTTGTGCATTAACAAACATATCCAGGAAAATTTGAATAATGACGCTAACCAAATATTTTCGATGATTGATTGGTTGTAATGAACCGCCTATGCTGCGTGCATGAGGTGTTTTGTCACTGCAAATCCTGTTTTGTGAATTTTCTTTTTGTTATTTTTCCTTTTTGGTACAACCTTAATGTATTTGCCATTTATTGTAGGGTTTTAGCTGTGTACACGTTTCAGGACCCAATTTACTCGTCAACTTTGGACAATAGAGGCTTATATCTTCAATTAATTATCTGAAGCGGTAATCATGCTTAGATTTCCGCCCGCCATTTTGAATTATGTTGGTATAATTAGTTCTGCATATCAAAGAGGATTGAGGTTTGAGTTAGTGGCGAACATACTGTAAATGTGCACCGTATTTGTGTTGTCCGATCAAGTTGTTTGTGCATTAAACATCATGTGTGTCTGATCGATGCTTTGACCTGACTTTGACATGATCTTGTTTCATTCGTGACCAACTCGTGTTATTCCGTGACAAGCCGAATAGCGATTTACGGAAAGGGGCGAGTGGTGACGAATGGATATTGTTTGCTACATATGATGTCACAAAAATGTAGGTCAAACGGATCTCGCGCTGTGTTAAGAAGCAAACAGCCTGATTGAAGCGGAACGAGGATTTGGAGCTTGCAGTGAGAGAAGGCTATGTTGCAGCACCCTAGCTGTGTGTCCAACCGGCCAGGGTAAACCCAATTCTGACAAAAGGATCGTGAAGGTTTTGCTTCTTTTAACTACAAGCGATGATGCTTTCCCAACGACGTATCTTATGCAGTTAGCCAGTACAACAGCACGTACAGATGTATCAGTAGGGACAGGAATAGCAATGGATCTATAGCTCAAACGGAATGTTTTAGGATATGTTAAAGCAATTTAGTCCTTCTTTGACAATGATTATTATAAGGCCAGCCTTGTAATTCTTCAATTCAGAATGATTATAATACATAATAATAGTATTAAACATAGTATTAAAAAATCGAAATGGGACTGAATAATGTTCCACCAGAAGTGTCGTTATACATTTTGTCAAGTATAATTTCTATGAGCATCTGTAGCTGAACTGTATGGAAGCGTATTGGTGCCATAGTCGTATTCAATAGCATCTACGCAGATGATACTTGCTTCTTCAACCTATGCTTGACATAAGAGGCGACTAACGGGATCGGGTGGTCAGGCTCGCTGACTTGATTGACACATGCAATCGTATCCCAAATGCGTAGAACGATGCTCACTGGATTGTCTGGTCCAGACTCGATTATTTTTAGACCCCTGGCATTTAGCTGGAATATTGCCGGATGCGGCTGTAAACAACAACCAAACTATATCAACTTTACTTCTTCATTGATGATACTATCGTCAACGTAGAGGATACTTTCATCTCTGTGTATACTATTATTAATCATACTCGTGATTTTGTCTTGTGAACTTGCGAAGTTACTTTTTCATTTATGATACTATCGTCAACGTAGAAAATAGTTTCATCTCTGTGTATAATATTATAATCATTTTCGTGATTTTGTCTTGTAAAGTTGCGACCCCAAATGGATATAGTTCCTACAGACACACAGATATAGAGAGAAAGGTGTCTTCCACGTGGACGAAGGATCTGTTTTCTTTAAAACCGTGACACTAGTACCTTCCATTCGCTGTCATCCATCATACACATACATTCCGTTAACCACGACTGTACCTGTCTGTCCACATTGCCCCTTCAGAATAGGGAGCCGCTCTGTGCTGTACATTAAGCACTTTCTATAGTGCTAAATATCACATTTCCGCTTTTCAAGTTTCTATTTTCAAATACTTTGAACTGATTATCAATTTAGTTAAACTTAAATACATTATAAACATAGTATTTATCAATAGTGAAGACAAAGTTGAGACTCATTTCCTAAGCACTGTTATAAAGTGTAATATGAGTTCCAAGTAGCCTCATTTCTCTGTAACTCTGGCGTAAATGAACAGTAAAAGCGTTTTGATGCCATTGTAACAGTTTTACTAGAAAGGTAGTACTTTAGGACAGGATTTTAAATGTATTACATTTATCATAATAAGTGTAATCTTTACTGTTGATTTTGAACAAATGTTCATTTACGAGGCATTATGTTACGAATTATCTTGAAATGCAATTGCTGGAACTTATTGTCAAATGGCAACTTCATAACCGGTACCATTTAGATTTAAGAACTTCTGGAAAAGACTTTACAACACTGATTTGCATCAAATTAAACAAAAACAAGTTAAATGAAAACCTCGATTTACTTGAATTTCATTAACAGGAGGACCATTTATCTTAGGAAAGTCTTTCAACTTAGGCAAATATGAATGAATAATTTATATCTAAAGGCATTAATTACACCATGGTACGTAGTTCCCTTTTGTACTCTCTACATTTTATTTTGCATCTAGTTCGTTTTTGACAAAATATTTTCTCGATGTTGAGAAGTTAGCTTACACTAATTATACTTGAATCTTGCCACTGAGGATTAATGATGCACTTTCTTTGACTGGAATAAATGTGATCCTCTTCGTTTATACATATTTCTTTCCGAAGTCTCCAGTTATCTAATATTTCGACAAAATGTCTACTTTTGAGTTAATGTTACTGCCATACTCAATAATATCATGTTTGTTTAACAAACCTTCGTTAAACCCCTGAACATCATGTGTTGAGTTATTATCATTCAAGTTAATGTTAACCGATTTAGTGACAAATATGCAATTGTTTTAAAAGCATGTTGTGCTGTTTTAAGAATCGGTGCAGAATCGTCAGGGCAATAGACACCTTTGGTTTCTTTGTTATTTGCAATACGATATCTTCTATCTCACCTAAGCTACGAAACCTAGTGTTTATTAACTCGAAACATAATATAAATATTTGTGGACACAATGGGCGCCATTGCTTCGCTCACTAATTATGACAATAATGGATAGCTGGCTTATCGTCTCTTACACATAAAGTCGTCTCTTTGAGGCATACAAGTAAAAGGTTGATGAAGTAATCTTGAAATCCAAACTGATTCAAAAGCAAAATGGATAAACTGATGTCCTTCCGAATCGAATGCCTTTTCAAAATAAAAAAAACAAAACTTAACGTATGCTCTTTCATCATAAATTTGAATGAAATCCATTAAAAATCTTATATTTTTATGAGTAATAATGTTTTAAACAAAACAGTCTGCCTTCTTCGGGTAGTCTAGATAATCTGTTGCAAGCCTGATACGATTTTGAAGAGCTTTAGCAAAAAGTTTGTCATCGAGATTCAATAACGTGATCACTTAAAAAAACACTAAGGGTTATCACCCTTTGTCGACAGTCAAGCTACCTCCTGTTTTGGTGTACACTGGCAACTAATTCTGTATGGAATATATAGTTTACTGGATATATAGAGAATCTCACCCAAGTGTCTTCTGATATCAATTATATCAACACGAGTTGATAAAGTTACAAATATCCGAGGCTTGCCGAGGATATTTTTACTTTTATCAACGAGTGTTGATAAACTCATGCCAAGAATGGTTGTCACCCCTCCCCTCCCCACCCCAACCCCACACACACCTCACACCAGCATTCCCACCCCTCACCAATTAAAAAAATTGAAGGGGGTGACAACATTATTGGCATGAGTATATATTTGATATCAGAAGACACGAGGTTAAGATTCTATTCTTCATCCAAAATCACTCTTCATTAATTTTCAATGAAAAATGTACATCTGAACATGGTACTGCATTAGACTTGCAGTGCAGCGATTTCATAGCATTGTGACGTCATCAAGTACATGACGTCATAGCATTGTCAGGGCATTGTACAAAATCTACTGTCAAAACGATATCTCCTAGGAGATATCGTTTGATCTCACACAAGCGATATCTCCTGTGGAACACAGTTTTGGATGATAAATATGTACATTGCTGTTATTCACAATAGAGTTTGTATATTTCCCATAGTAGACCATCACTCGCTGATGATTTATCACCCTTCGCGCTACACAAGGCTAATCACAACTCTTATCAGTTGTCACTTCTGATCCCTCAGCCTGCCATACTGATTACTACTACGACGTTGAATGGGGCGGATGTCGAAGTTGTGCAGAGCTCTGTCATCAGGCGGAAGTGCATGGGACGCTGAAGAAATGTATGGATCTATGCCCAGGTACCCATTCTGCCATGTTAATTCCCCAGGGCCTAGATTTTCGAAGCTCTCTTTGCGTTAAGATAGTCGTAATTGTCATACATTAACTTTGGACTATTAAAGCAAAGAGAGCTTCGAAAATCTAGTCCCTGGATGATAAGGCAAACACGGAAGCATGCATCACAGCAATTTAACAGTGAACACTTGTCCAAGGTGCATGCGACCCACTACACACACACACACACAGACACGCACACACGCACGCACACAAGCGCACACATACATAAGTTTAGACACACGCATTGGTTTGTTTCTAGCATTAAAACACATGGCAGTAAACATTGCGGTTTCTAAAGTTTTGCTCTATATTTTAGTTGAAACCACACCGAGGAAGACTACAACACACAGTCCCCGAGTCGTTCCGACGACAGCCATTACAGATGACGGAACAACTGAACGTAAGTATATTTTCATCTTAATAAATTCATTCCCTTTAGGATTAGACTTCGCGTTGTCAACAGTCTCCAAAGCCCAACTCTATAATAGATGGTTTCATAAACATGAGTGAGTGAGTTTGGTTTTACGCCGCTTTGAGCAATATTCAAGCAATATCACGGTGGTGAACACCAAAAATGACCTTCACACATTGTACCCATCTGGGGAATCGAACCCGGGTCTTCGACGTGACGAACCAACGCTTTATCCACCAGGCTACTCCACCGTCACCATAAACAAGAGATTCGACAGGAGGTGCAATAAGGAAGTGCATACTATACCAGTGACTGACATCATGAACATCGCCTCTGACGAATTACCTACTTAAAAACATATTTTACAACAATTATGGAAATCACTCCATTCTGACTGATTTCCAGAATGTTCAAATACAGGATGTAAAAATCATATTTTGCGGTTACCAATATGTTCATTGTTGTGACAGTATGTTTTGGGGAGAACACAAGACAGACTAAGAAAGAAAGTGTATATCATGTTTTAGGCGCCGCAGAGAACTTGACATTCGGCGATTTTATAAGCTACTGTCACGTCATGTCTGACTGAGCGGCGCCTGCTTAATGATGTAGAGGTGCCCACTTCATAGGTGCTTGATAAGTAGCAGCGCTTCACACTCTACGTGTGTTCACGGGAGTCAGGTTTGATGTAAGACATAAAATACAAGTTTTGGGCACATCCAGTAGCAAACTATATTCAATGCCTTTATCTGAGTGAGTGAGTTCAGTTTTACGCTGCACTCAGCAAACCTTTATCTGAGACCTCCTCAGTCAATGGGAATCAAGCCTGCCACTTCACTCAACATCTGTGATAGCAACAAATTGTATTATTTGAAATCTAACGTGGGTGCAGTTGGAAAGTTAGTGCTCTATATCGAAAACACAGCTTATTCATGTAGAAAGTGTTCTTGGTATTCCAAATGAAATGGAGATGTATATCCTGATTAGGCATCTGAAAGTGAAAAACGTTCTCTTTAGATCCAACCAACCATGCTGCCAACACAGTAATGGCGGTGGCAGTGTTGATTGCGGTCTTGTCAGCAGCAAGCGTAGCAGCTTTGGTGTTCCTTAAGTTGAGAAAAGTGATGAAGAACCACCCAAGATGTGTTCCCACACCTGTCCCTCTCATTAATACAGGTGTGTCACATAGAATCATATGGTTATGGTTTTCAGTTTATATACCGTAAATGTTAAAGATAACGGAAACTATGCTTAGGTTTGTTTGTTCGGAGGTATTCTCTTGGTGAAACAGGTTAGTACAGTCAGTGGCCAAAAATGAGTTCGCACTCGCATAAAGTCACGACAGCTTAGTGAATATCAAAGCACCAAAAATAGCTAATAACTAAGAAGAAACATGCGAAATTTCGTTGCGATGTTTGCCGATTTGCTAAAACGCGAAGCCATGATAAATCGTCAAACGTTGTGACCGGACACTGCGCAACCATTTTTGCGAAAAGCATGTAAAAGTGAAGCCTTATACAGGTGTGAATATGAGCGGGAGGATCAGCGTTGTTTAACAGTAATGAACAATATAACACCTGCATCCAGACAATCTGAATGTTTGACTCTGAAGTAGGCACAGGAGCGGCTAATAACATGGATATCGGTTCAAGTGCCAGGAGACAAATAGACATAACCATTATCCATGTCAGACAATGTAACTATCTTATACAGAGGAGAAAGAAGAGATCAAAGCTGTATGCGGAACAACTGACTTGTAGCATATTTCATCACCTTACACATCATCCCGTAAATAATTGCATGTGACCGTGGATTTCATTTGTCACAGGAGAACAGCGAAGAGAATATAGTATTTGAATTGGGGCAACATTGTACATTTTTCAATTGCGATATATTTGTAGAAAACTAAGTGTCACATACTTTTTATGACGGATTGTAATATATTTCACTCAATTTAATTGATGTTTTTATCAAATCTTTGAATAAGGCATGATGGATGCTACTGAAAAACACCATTGATTTCGTTTAGTTTAACGATGTATGTGTCGATTTCAGATCTCAATCATAGTGAGTGCTCAAGAGAACCCAATATTGAGTTGGGATTTATGCAGCAACAACCCGATCCATCAAAGGCAATACAAGGTGTGGCTGAATCGTGGGAGCCAGACTAAGAGGCATGCATAGTGCACGCTGGACTGTTTGTAAAACCCACTGAATGAGTGTTATTCTTCAGGACAGAGCACCGATCACAAACCTGCCACCATGGCATACAGTGCTTCACATTCCTTGAAAGCTAGTCTTTACCAGATTTTGCACCGTCGAAATTTCACTTTCTTAACTGGAAGAAAGTACTGTCTGGCAAGAAAGGCGTTTTACATCAACAAGAAGTTTTCTGCGCCAGTAGTTTCCAGATACTCGAGCATATTTGGAAGACGCTTTCGAGTGAGTGAGTGAGTGGGTATGGTTGTACGCTGCTTTTAGCAATATTCCAGCAATATCACGACGGGGAACACCACAAATGGGCTTCACATTTTGTACCAATGTGGGAATTCGAACCCGGGTCTTCAGCGAACGCTTTAATCACTAGGCTACCCAACCGCCCCGAGGAAAAATGAATAAAAACGAGAAATGTATATTCGATATATATTCGTATTTCAAACGTGTATCAGGGTTGTGTTATGGGCCTTACCTTAGCTGTGTTTCGGCGACTGTTTCCAGCCTATCACGTTAACATTTCAGCCGATAACGTTTGCAATGTTGTTGGTCATTAAAATTTTCATGTGTATACTTTCTTTTGCACGACTTATCGTACAACAGTTTGACTAAGATGAACTAGCGAAGACCCAGAGAATGCTTGTTAAACCGCAATAATTTATTTAATCCTATTGCAACTATAACGGGACAACCTATAGAACATCAGCGTCACCTGGACCACAGTCACGAACGACCGCTTTAACCGTTAGGCGACCCCAACGCCCCAGACGCTTTCGAACATCGGAGGGAAATAAGTGAAAGAAAATTAACAACCATATACATCGACGCAATGCATCATAGTTGGGTTCAGAACCTTTCAACCACTCATGGTATTGCAATAGCGAGATATCTGTACATAGTGACTACAATTCATATTATGACATTTATGACATTGTGTGTCCCCCGAGTCTCTTCGTCGGGTCATTATACTACCTTTGAATGTGTTCTGCCACTCTGTTTTGTTCTACCATAGTGGCACCTTTGTAGTGATGTGTATTGATTGCTGAACTGTGTCGATTTTAGAATAATGTGTTAATAAAAGTACATTTCTTTTTTGTTGGTCTCACGCCTAGTTTTACGAACTGATACCAGGTTAACCCTTTCAATTCAGCCTGGCAATCAACACGCAACAACTATTGTATGTTTACACCTATACCGTTAGTCAGTCTGTTATTCTAAGGTGGATTTGTAGTGCCGGTCAGGAAATGCCCACAGCCTGACCTGGAGTTCCGCTCCTTTATGTTTGCGCCTGAAATTCCACTTTCAGTTGCCCTTGACATTTCAGAGCATGTATTCCGCGTATTGTGGGTTTGGTACAATGTTGTGTATTAAATGTTTAACGGTAAAGGCGATGTTGTCCTTATTGTTCCTTTACTTCATTGATCTGACTCCGTCAGATGAAATTGGAGGAATGTTGCCGAGTAACCCCCAGCATATGCTAGTGCTAGTCATCTTTATCCAACAAGCTCCAGGCACATGCAAGGAATCAAGAAGCACGTCTCATGATCGAACATCATTCTTCCTCTCTTGTCTGTATTCAAGTCAAGATACAACTGTGGATGTAGCAAATACATTCTCATAATATAGCACGCTCTCATGACAGAGAGGAGACGCTGACACAGCAATAAGCTGCACGTGTCACTGCACATTGAGTGGTGTCCGACAACAAGATGATCGCCTGACAAAAGCTCTTGATTGGATTTGTTATCTTAGCAAGATAGCGAAGGATTAGTGTCGACTGGATTCAATAATGAAATACTAAGCACACATTCAATCCATAGTGGTTTTGGTCACAGCAGTCTGCAAAACATACTATTTTCTCTTCGGGGTAGATGACTTGATTCAAGTCGTGTTCAGTGGATGACGACATCTGGAAAACAAAGGCTGCTTCGGGGTGATCATTCCTTCTAGCATTTGCTAGTGCTAGCTTCTCCATCGGCCAACACTAAGCAGATACCAGGAGGAATGGACACCTTCTTCAATATTTCAAATGATAAACTACGCACAAACCCCTTTGAAGAAAGTAGGGTTGAAAATCCCCAGCATTTGATAGTGCTAGCCCCAACTTTTGCAAGCACTTGTCAAATACCAGTGACTTGACCTCGGTTTCTAACAAATGTATTGAAGCACGATGGAGCTTGACAGAGTTGAATTGCCTGCTAACTTCCCCCAGCATGTGCTAGTGCTAGTTGTGGTTTATATACCAGCACAGAACAGACGCAAGGGGAAGTCAAGCAGTCATGGATTCGATCTTCTTTTACTGGAATGCTCAGAAAGGTTGACTTGAAAAGTGACCCTATAAACCTCCAGCATGTGCTAGTGCTAGCCTTTAATCCAAGCATGCACAAAACAGATGCGGAATGCATACAGGCCCATTTCCTTGCTGAGAATTCCAAAGGTCTTCTTGCTGTCTTCAGAGGAAATAGGAGGAGTGTTGCCGAGTAACCCCTAGCATATGTTAGTGCTAGTCATATTTTTTCCAACAAGCACCAGGCACATGCAAGGAATCAAGTAGCACGTCTCCTGATCGAAATTCATTCTTCCTCTCTTGTCTGTATTCAAGTCAAGATACAACTGTGGATGTAGCAAATACATTCTCATAATATAGCACGCTCTCATGACAGAGAGGAGACACTGACACAGCAATAAGCTGCACGTGTCACTGCACATTGAGTGGTGTCCGACAACAAGATGATCGCCTGACAAAAGCTCTTGATTGGATTTGTTATCTTAGCAAGATGGCGAAGGATTAGTGTCGACTGGATTCAATAATGAAATACTAAGCACACATTCAATCCATAGTGGTTTTTGGTCACAGCAGTCTGCAAAACATACTGTTTTCTCTTCGGGGTAGATGACTTGATTCAAGTCGTGTTCAGTGGATGACGACATCTGGAAAACAAAGGCTGCTTCGGGGTAATGATTCCTTCTAGCATTTGCTAGTGCTAGCTTCTCCATCGGCCAACACTAAGCAGATACCAGGAGGAATGGACACCTTCTTCAATATTTCAAATGATAAACTACGCACAAACCCCTTTGAAGAAAGTAGGGTTGAAAATCCCCAGCATTTGCTAGTGCTAGCCCCAACTTTTGCAAGCACTTGTCAAATACCAGTGACTTGACCTCGGTTTCTAACAAATGTATTGAAGCACGATGGAGCTTGACAGAGTTGAATTGCCTGCTAACTTCCCCCAGCATGTGCTAGTGCTAGTTGTGGTTTATATACCAGCACAGAACAGACGCAAGGGGAAGTCAAGCAGTCATGGATTCGATCTTCTTTTACTGGAATGCTCAGAAAGGTTGACTTGAAAAGTGACCCTATAAACCTCCAGCATGTGCTAGTGCTAGCCTTTAATCCAAGCATGCACAAAACAGATGCGGAATGCATACAGGCCCATTTCCTTGCTGAGAATTCCAAAGGTCTTCTTGCTGTCTTCAGAGGAAATAGGAGGAGTGTTGCCGAGTAACCCCCAGCATATGCTAGTGCTAGTCATCTTTGTCCAACGAGCACCAGGCACATGCAAGGAATCAAGTAGCACGTCTCCTGATCGAAATTCATTCTTCCTCTCTTGTCTGTATTCAAGTCAAGATACAACTGTGGATGTAGCAAATACATTCTCATAATATAGCACACTCTCATGACAGAGAGGAGACGCTGACACAGCAATAAGCTGCACATGTCACTGCACATTGAGTGGTGTCCGACAACAAGATGATCGCCTGACAAAAGCTCTTGATTGGATCTAATATCTTAGCATGATGGCGAAGGATTACTGTCCAGTGGAGTCAACAATGAAATACTAAGCACACATTCAATCCATAGTGGTTTTTGGTCACAGCAGTCTGCAAAACATACTATTTTCTCTTCGGGGTAGATGACTTGATTCAAGTCGTGTTCAGTGGATGACGACATCTGGAAAACAAAGGCTGCTTCGGGGTAATGATTCCTTCTAGCATTTGTTAGTGCTAGCTTCTCCATCGGCCAACACTAAGCAGATACCAGGAGGAATGGACACCTTCACTATTTCAAATGATAAACTACTCACAAACCCCTTTGAAGAAAGTAGGGTGGAAAATCCCCAGCATTTGATAGTGCTAGCCACAACTTTTTGCAAGCACTTGTCAAATACCAGTGACTTGACCTCGGTTTCTAACAAATGTATTGAAGCACGATGGAGCTTGACAGAGTTGAATTGCCTGCTAACTTCCCCCAGCATGTGCTAGTGCTAGTTGTGGTTTATATACCAGCACAGAACAGACGCAAGGGGAAGTCAAGCAGTCATGGATTCGATCTTCTTTTACTGGAATGCTCAGAAAGGTTGACTTGAAAAGTGACCCTATAAACCTCCAGCATGTGCTAGTGCTAGCCTTTAATCCAAGCATGCACAAAACAGATGCGGAATGCATACAGGCCCATTTCCTTGCTGAGAATTCCAAAGGTCTTCTTGCTGTCTTCAGAGGAAATAGGAGGAGTGTTGCCGAGTAACCCCTAGCATATGCTAGTGCTAGTGATCGTTGTCCAACAAGCACCAGGCACATGCAAGGAATCAAGTAGCACGTCTCCTGATCGAAATTCATTCTTCCTCTCTTGTCTGTATTCAAGTCAAGATACAACTGTGGATGTAGCAAATACATTCTCATAATATAGCACGCTCTCATGACAGAGAGGAGACGCTGACACAGCAATAAGCTGCACGTGTCACTGCACATTGAGTGGTGTCCGACAACAAGATGATCGCCTGACAAAAGCTCTTGATTGGATTTGTTATCTTAGCAAGATAGCGAAGGATTAGTGTCGACTGGATTCAATAATGAAATACTAAGCACACATTCAATCCATAGTGGCTTTTTGGTCACAGCAGTCTGCAAAACATACTATTTTCTCTTCGGGGTAGATGACTTGATTCAAGTCGTGTTCAGTGGATGACGACATCTGGAAAACAAAGGCTGCTTCGGGGTGATCATTCCTTCTAGCATTTGCTAGTGCTAGCTTCTCCATCGGCCAACACTAAGCAGATACCAGGAGGAATGGACACCTTCTTCAATATTTCAAATGATAAACTACGCACAAACCCCTTTGAAGAAAGTAGGGTTGAAAATCCCCAGCATTTGATAGTGCTAGCCACAACTTTTGCAAGCACTTGTCAAATACCAGTGACTTGACCTCGGTTTCTAACAAATGTATTGAAGCACGATGGAGCTTGACAGAGTTGAATTGCCTGCTAACTTCCCCCAGCATGTGCTAGTGCTAGTTGTGGTTTATATACCAGCACAGAACAGACGCAAGGGGAAGTCAAGCAGTCATGGATTCGATCTTCTTTTACTGGAATGCTCAGAAAGGTTGACTTGAAAAGTGACCCTATAAACCTCCAGCATGTGCTAGTGCTAGCCTTTAATCCAAGCATGCACAAAACAGATGCGGGATGCATACAGGCCCATTTCCTTGCTGAGAATTCCAAAGGTCTTCTTGCTGTCTTCAGAGGAAATAGGAGGAGTGTTGCCGAGTAACCCCTAGCATATGTTAGTGCTAGTCATATTTTTTCCAACAAGCACCAGGCACATGCAAGGAATCAAGTAGCACGTCTCCTGATCGAAATTCATTCTTCCTCTCTTGTCTGTATTCAAGTCAAGATACAACTGTGGATGTAGCAAATACATTCTCATAATATAGCACGCTCTCATGACAGAGAGGAGACGCTGACACAGCAATAAGCTGCACGTGTCACTGCACATTGAGTGATGTCCGACAACAAGATGATCGCCTGACAAAAGCTCTTGATTGGATTTGTTATCTTAGCAAGATAGCGAAGGATTAGTGTCGACTGGATTCAATAATGAAATACTAAGCACACATTCAATCCATAGTGGTTTTTGGTCACAGCAGTCTGCAAAACATACTATTTTCTCTTCGGGGTAGATATTTGATTCAAGTCGTGTTCAGTGGATGACGACATCTGGAAAACAAAGCTGCTTCGGGGTGATCATTCCTTCTAGCATTTGCTAGTGCTAGCTTCTCCATCGGCCAACACTAAGCAGATACCAGGAGGAATGGACACCTTCTTCAATATTTCAAATGATAAACTACGCACAAACCCCTTTGAAGAAAGTACGGTGGAAAATCCCCAGCATTTGATAGTGCTAGCCACAACTTTTGCAAGCACTTGTCAAATACCAGTGACTTGACCTCGGTTTCTAACAAATGTATTGAAGCACGATGGAGCTTGACAGAGTTGAATTGCCTGCTAACTTCCCCCAGCATGTGCTAGTGCTAGTTGTGCTTTATATACCAGCACAGAACAGACGCAAGGGGAAGTCAAGCAGTCATGGATTCGATCTTCTTTTACTGG